GGCAAGAGGGTACAGGGCGTCCAGGTGCGCCTTGTTATGAACGTGTGCGTCGGCGGCCGCGGCCGGCGATGGGCGAGGCGGGCCCGGAGCGACGTGCGTGGGGGCGGGCCACGCGCCGGAGGTGACGTGGCCGCGCGCGCCTCGGCGAGACGCTGCACCGTGTAGAGGAGGTCCATCTCCATGCTGTGTATGTGTGTGTGTGGGAGCAAAGGAGGTTCTCCAGACGGAATCTGTACGCTGTCGTTTTCTATAATTTTTCAGTGTCCGAGGCAATTCTATCACAATTCGTTGACATGGGTGAGATGCAGCGTGTTTCACTAAACTACTCCTCAAAGAGAAGAAAGACTGCGTGGCATGATTTCGTTCATCCAACAATCAATCTAGCTACATAATATAAACACAATCTGGGCAGAATGAACAAATAACAAGGAGAAAGAAAAACAACAAACGCCCCAACCTCGCAGCACCAATGCTTTGCCATATTTCTTCAAAGAAGTAGAACAACGTCAAAAACTAGCAAACGCCAAACCAAAGAGTATAAATCCCCACTCGAGAAATCAATTGGAAAAAAGAAGAGGGCCTGTCCGTCAAAGGCTGACCACCCGCACCTATAAACCGAAAATCGTATAAAAACGCCTTGTGAAATTATGTCCATGCTGAACACTCGAATTGGCAACCAAGCTGCGAAGCTCAGTCACACATGTATATGCAATTAAAGGTGCCGGTCTTTTGTTGATTGGCATCCCGTATATATCTCTTTTTCTTTGTTTTTGGTGATGCAGCATCCACATTCATGTTGAGCCATATGACGGCACACTGCGGGGAGTCACGTCTCCGCTGAGCCGTCGCATGGCAGACAAGTGCGGCGTCTTGCTGTTTGCTTCCGCAATCATCTGCTGCTTCTTTCGCACCATAGTGAGTCGTCCTGTAATCATAGTAATCATCTTCCGTACGTGGGCTTCCTCTTCCATGTCCAGATCGCTGCCTTCTTGGGCCGTGTCTCTGGCCGGTTCCTTGCCGGAGGAAACCCTGCGGCCCGTTATCTCTTCGCCACTGTCCAAAACTGCCTCGAGCATACGGATGGCCGTGAGGTACGAAATCTCGCATCCGGGCAGATTTTCGTTGGTCACTTCGTCAATGGCAGCCGCACGGCTCATCTCAAGTGCTCGATCGTACATGAGCTTTTCAGCGCTGATACCAGGCGTCAAGTACACCTGCTTGGCTCCGCCAGCAGACGACGCGATCGAGTCTTCGCCTTGGCTGGAAGGGTAGCCAGGATGGTCCTCGGGAAGCAGCTTTTGTGCTTCGCTAAGCTTCAGGCGTACAACCTCGGACTTTTCCAAGACCTCGTTGAACCGTTGCCGAACCCACTGAACGACAGCATTGATTCGCTGTACAAGCGTCTGGGATACAATGGATGATTCGGCCCGAGATTTCTTGGACCACCACAGGCTGGCAATGTCCATGGCACGTGCGAGAAGAGTTAGAGACTTGACGAAGAGAACCAAGGCTTCCTCGGACAGAGCCACAGTGGCCTCAACTGTCAGCCCATCGTCTTCACCGATGACTTCGTCATGCACGACACCGCCGAGACCATAGTCCATAGACGGGGCCAACGGAACCAGCTGCTTATACTTGACTTCGGCAAAGCCGTATACGCAGTCGCTCCGGGTCGCAAACTCCTCAATAGCCTGCGCAGCCCTGGCGTCCTCGTCAGATACCTGAGAGGTCTTACCGTCACCCAGGAGTCCAGCAGACGTCGGCGTAGGGTATGCAGGGAAAGGCTGGTATAGAGGTGGCGATGGACCCTTTTGACGTATTGGGTTGACCTTGTATCCAAAGAGACGAAGGCTTGCGTCTTGAATCGCTTTAGAAATGGCGCTCGAGGCAGATCCGGGACTAGCAGAAAGCGCCTTTTCGTACGAAGAACGGCGGTCCTGGCCAGCGCGCCCTTGGGCAACAAGAGCTGTTCTCGAGGCCGGTGTCGGAATAGCACCTGTAGTAGAGGTGGAAGAGCCTTGCTGGGTATACCTCCTCTGCATGGGGCTCGCCCTCGCCGAAGGGTTGTTTTGCCCTAGTCTCTCGTTTGCAGCCAACTCATCCGCCAAAGCATTGACTTCAACATGTCGACGCTCAACCACGACGTAGTCTCTTTCGAACATGACATCTTGGGCAGCCTTTTCCTCTTCCGATAGCGAAACATCCGACGGCTGTCGCGCCACACGCAAAGACGAGGGTTGCGGTTCGCGTCCACTTCGATCGGCTGCTCTGGGATGATTTGGAGCCGAGTGCGATTGAATTGGTACAGGCCGTTGGATGCCAAGACCGTGCCCACTATCACGAGGCGAGGTACTCGGACGGCGCTCGACGGGTTGGCTTTGGCGGCGTCGGGTTGCTTCGGCGGGGCTTCCCACTGTAGAGGAACGCGGTGAGTCGTGAGGGGACCTCGGGGATGAACGCGTATCCCTACGATCGTCACTGAGCTGCCTGGCCATCTGTGTGCGGGGCGACGAGGGCATGGCTTCGCCTTGGCGGATAGTCTCTAGCTCCCGCTTGGGTGGTTTGGGAATGTCATCCTCCACGAGACCAGGAATATCAGCAGTAACGACGGTATGGGCGAAGAAATTTTCGAAACTCAAGCGCTCAACGGGGCTTCGTTTTAGCAACGCGCGAACGAGCGCCTTGAGATCGGGGGTTACGATGACTTCTCTAGGAAATTTGATGATGTCCTCTGCAGCTTCTATCTTGCGGAGCAGCTCAACGTGATTTCTAGCTCGGAAGGGTGGGCGTCCTGTGATCATCTCATAGAGCACGGTGCCAACAGACCACAGATCAGCCTTGGCATCGTAGCGTTCATAGCGAAGAATTTCAGGAGCCATGTATAGCGGCGAGCCACAGAGAGTATCGGCGAGAGAGGTTGATGGCAAAACTCGGGCAAAGCCAAAGTCGGCAAGCTTGAGCATGGGCAGAGAGGCAAGGCCTGATATGGGAATCAGGGAATCTCGGCTAGCCTGCATGATGGGTAACGCTCGTTCGGCTCTGAACGCTTGCGCCGGTAACAAAAGGAGATTCTGGGGCTTCACATCTCGATGGACGTAGTTCTTGGCGCGGAGAAACTCGAGTGCACTGCAGAGTTGCTTGAGGAAGTGGCGGATGACAACTTCGTGCAAACCAGAGTTGGGGGCGCAGGGATACTTGCGTGCCATTTCGTGGGTAGCGGGATGTGTGATGAGCTTGTCTCGCTTCTTAATAAAAAGGGACAAGTCGCCAAGCTCGCAGTATTCCATGACGAGGTTGATGTGTGTAGATGATTCGACGCAATCATGGAGGGCAACGATGTGGGGATGTCGAAGAGTCTTGAGAATCTGGATCTCTCCGTAGAGGTTCTCTTTCAACTTCTTATTGAGACGCTCCAGCTCGACGGATTTGATGGCTACGGCGGCTTTGGACTCCTTGTGCTTGTTAGTTGCGAGTCCTAGAGTAGGGCCGGGCAAGGACGCGAAGCTTACCTTGTGCCATCCCATATAGACCTGGGCAAAACTGCCTTTGCCAATCTCCCTATCGATAACGAAGCTGCCAACATGACGGCTGCTCCTGCGGGTGGCACGGGACGATGTCCCTTCTTGCCGGCTAGCCATGACGTCCTGTGAAGCGTATCAGAGACAGGAAGAGAGGAAGCCTTTAAATATAGCCGCTAGCGGGCTTATAATATTCGAAATACGTCGACGGCGGTCAAGATAGTCATGTAAGCGCTGGAAGAGGTCGTGGCGTGGCAAAGAAATGGATGTATCGAGTAGAAGAGGCGGGAGAGGAGTCGAGGCAAGGTAGCAAGGTCGAGCAGTGTGCGCAGAGTCTAGATGGACCGAAAGATGTGGGTAGCCGGACGGGACTTTATTGCCGAGTATGTTGGGTCGGATAGTTGGGCTGGCGGGTGCAGTCTGTGGATTTGGTCGAGTTAGCTGGACTGCTAGACTGCTGGACTGCAGGGCTCAAAGTGAGTGGGCAGTCAAGAGGTGCGATGCAGCGATGGTAGAGGCACTGAGGTATGCATGCATGCGGGAGGGTGTGACAGGACAGGGAAGCCGCAGCGACGGACCAGAAAACGGGAACGGGCGTGAACGCAGGAGCCTGGGGAGACGGATGCGAGGCGACCGAGATGCGCAAGGCAGCAGCGACAAGGCGGAAGTCAAGCCGGACAAGCACAGACGGAAATTCGAGGAGTGCGATGTCGAGATGCAGGGATGCGCGGGGAGGAGTCCAGAAGTGCGAGGCGACGAGTACCGACAGGCTAGTAACGATGCGCAGCTCAACTTGGAGGCCGTGACTAACACGGAGCGCAAGGACTAGGTCGGAAACGATGGCGTCGCGCGATTTGGAGCACGAGTTGAAGGTGACAAGAGGAACGTGGTTGTGCGCATTGGGTAAATGGATGAAGGAGGGTTTGTCTCGGAGCTAGGTAGATGACTGGGGAGGAAGTCTGGCGTGGCGGATGGGCGTTGTTGAGGAAGACGGGCGAGGCGAGAGTTGAAACTGAGAGGAACGGCGCGCAAACGGGAATAGGCAGCTTCGGAGCAGAGCACCGACTAGGGGACCACCTATAATCGGCAGGAGAAGGAGGCGCGTGGGCAATGGACAGCACCCCAGCACAGACTTACCCTGATGGTTGATAGCCAGGACTAGGGACGTAATAAAGGAGCGTGAATGGTGCTGTCAAGGTGATGGTAGACTGGCCAAAAAGGGGAGGCCGTGATGAATAGAAGATGAAAAGCGAATGTTGATGGGCGGGTTCGTTGCACAGGCTACGGCTGGCTGACAGGTGTGACTGTGCCGATGGCGCAAACAAGAAGGAAAAGGCGGGCGATGGCGGAGGACGAGACGAGGACGCCAGCGAACGAGCCAGGCCAAAACGACAATGACAAGGCGTCACCGACAAGGCAAGTTGCCGAATCGAGACGCGGCGCTAAAATAGTGAAGGGACTGACGGTGATGGTGGTATCAGTCGTGGCGTATGTGTTGTGTGTGTGTGTGTGTGTGTGTGTGGGTGTGGATGATGATGTATGGCCATGTACGGTCTTTGGAGGACTGCGTGCGTCGAGCGGCGGGTAGGGCGGTGCTGCGTGCGGTCGCCGGGATGCAGGCCTGGGTGGTTTGCTTGTTGGAGAAGAGCGACAAGTTGCGAAAAGAGAAAAGGAAGACGAGGCGGGAATTGATGAAATGGGGAGGGGGGCAAGAAGGAGTAATGAAGCGAGTGTTGTTTATTATGTGGCGATGGAGAATGGTAAGGCGTGATGACAAACGCGGCCTTGTCGGTTGTACTACAAATTACCAGCGATCGAGACGGACGTTTGTATTGAGCAGCTGTTCGACGGGACAGACGAGAGGACCCCATGGCACAGAAAAGACCAGCCTGATGGAGTACACATGGCGCTCGCAGTGCCGTGGCATCTGTCGAGACCTTTATGAACTAGTTAGTGTTCTTTTCTTCTGACACCAGTGCGGGCAATGGAGCCGTCACGACACATTTGGAACGAGCTCGTGATGCCGTCGTTTTTTTGGGGGTGGGGGATGACTGTTGGCGCCATCCGTGTTACCAGCGACAGCGAGTGAGTTGTGGAGAATTGGCGGGGGCGTCTTGCTTCCCCCAACGGATACAACTGATACCAGCACAGCAGTTGACCAGGACAAAGGACAAGTACCGCACAAGTACCTACCTACCTTAGAGGTAGCCTCTGGGGCCACTAGTCATGGCAGCACGTAATGCGGATGCCTGGGCAACTGGGGAACAACTACAGTGGTGTAACTGCTGTAACACCCGTGAGACGGACGTGTGAGCCGGCACCAGTGGCAACTGCCAACCCTGAAGGGAAAAATACATGGCCGTGACATGAGGCGAGTCGAGGACCAAAATGCCCGGTGCCGCTGCATTGGACCTCTGGAGAAGAAAGATGGTGGCGCAGCTACATTTGTACTTTGTACGAATTACTGCCACTACCTTTTTGCAAGTGCCTTGCATTGAAGGTAGATAATTCGTACACTAAGGTAATTTAGGTAGGCCTGAGAGCACCCCCCGAGTCTCCAATACAGCAGGTCGTGCCGGCCGTCCTTGGGCCTCGGGCGCGCTGCAAACACAAAGTCAAGACACAATCTGAGCACAGAGGTAGTACATACAGGCATCCGCCCTCAAAAGGAACGATAAGCCAAGCTTCAAGCCGATGGTGTCCTGCTATCTCTCCATCAATCGCGGGGATCTCGTACCCCCTCCCTTCTAACGAACCAGTCCTTATCCTATCACTATCGGACGTCCATTTTATCTTCGTGTGACATGGGCTTTAGTTACTTATCAAGATGGGCTTTTTCCTTTTATATTAGTGTACTGGTACTCCGTACAGATTAGTCTTATCCCGGTATCATACACTGACTGGTCCTGGCCGCTATTCCCGCCACAAGTTGCATAGGTACAATTCTCACCACAAATGTGTCCCAAGCTTAGAAGGCAACAGGGTAGGGGTTCCGACCCCCCCCCCCCCCCCCCCTTCCTTCAAAACTCCCCGTGACTCTTTGTTACGAGGCGTAGCCCTGCGCATGCAGTCAATGTGATATCCCGCCAACCCGCCAGCCAGCACGTAGGCAATCAATACGCCATCAATCTCTCTCCTCTGCCGGGCTCCCTCCATTCCCAACAAAGATCAAGTCAGCCAGCCACCACAACTCCCGTCGTCCATGCAGCCAACCAGCCGCCATTCATCCACCACGGATGACCTCTCTCACTTGCCAATCACAGATTCGCTACCCCGTACGTCATAGGTGGGCGAGTCATCTTCGATTATCCGTAGTTGTCCGTAATAAAATACCAACCTCCCTCCTCCCTCCTCCCTCCTCCCTCCTCCCTCCTCCCAAGGAACATCACTTGCCCTTCTGGACAATGGTCTGGCCCCCTCCGGGCCACCGGTCTCCACTCCGGCCAGGACCAAGACAGTCGCCGAACACCCTCGATGACTCTGCTCCCAGTCGTTCCCAGCGCGCCCGTCCCGTCGTTGATGATGGATAGATGTAAGTATCCGTATCAGCATAAAGCATTCGTACCAGTACAACAAAAAGATGCCTGGCGCGCCTGGCCCCGGACGCTTTCCCCGCAAACCCCATTGCGCCAACGAACCCCGGCCTCGCGTCGCCCGAATTCAAAATGGAAAAACATACTCCGTACAGGATACATCAGTCACAAAAGTAAACAAGAGAAAAAAGTAGAAAAAATGGCGGCCCCATCCCACTGGTCGTCTGTCCACAACTGCCTCTGCTGTGCGCCATGTCAACCAAGAACTCGAATACGGTTGCGCCCAATGCCGTGTCACCCTCCATCGCCTGTCTTACACCACACCCACCTGGCATCTCCTTTACTGGTACAAATTATTGCTGGTATTGCTGTAGTTATTGCCCCGTACCTAGGTAGGTAGGTAGTCAAACTACCACTTCATCAACCCCCAAGTCGCTGCCACATCACCGTCGAACAAGGTCTCATTCCCCAGACGCAACATCCCTTTTGAGCCAGTCATGATCCCGGCTTCGTCCCCCGTCTCTCTCACAATGTTGGTTGGTTGGGCACACAAGCACCTTTGCTAGCAAGGGCATGCAGAATGCAAGCCAAGGGTCCTTTGTGCGCTGTGCCCCCCATGTTTTTCGATGAACCTGCTCCTGTCTTTTGCTGTATCTACTATTCATCATCCTCGATCCCAGTCGTGTCCCGACTACCTCTTTTTCTCCCCTTCTCCCCTTTTCCCCTTTCCCTTTTGCAAGCCACATGCTACCCGCTCGCCGCCCCGATAGGCTCTTCCTCCGCACCTCAGTGCCGTATGACCACACACCACACATTCTCTCCCTCGCCATCTCTCATATCTGATAGAACTTGTACGTGGCCGCACTGCATAAATTAAGCCACTGCGCTGGCAACACCCAGCTGGCATGCAATGCTATATTTCATACCGCGACTGCTCGTCTCAAAGGAAACCAAGCTGCTTTCCTCTACCCTGCTCCCATCTTCTTTGTTGGGGCCTACCCAACTGCATTTACATATCCGCGGCCTCTTTCTACTCTACTCTACTTATCTTTCCGTTCATGTTTGCTTGTCATGTCACCTCTTATCGGTCTGACACCGCTTGCTCCCCTTCTCCATGCCCATGCTAGCTTGCTAGTCATGCCCTTGCAGCTCTTCTAAATCTCAAGCCGCCGAAGTCGGACACCCTCCACCTCCTCCGCACCAAGGTAACTGCATCTTAGACATTGACATGTGGCTGCCGCCGACGAATCGAGATTTCTTGCTGGCAGCCTCAACCATCTCCTAGTAGTCTTGATGCGCTTGACATCATGTTGCAAAACCAATAAAATCAATTCGCCTAACTGAAAATTTCCATGTTCCTATTCTGCCTCATGACGGTCATGGCAATCCTTTGGGTATCTTGTGCTACGACTAAAATCACATAAAACGTCGCTCTGTCGTTTTACTTCCCGGGACCTCGCGCTCATAATGCAGCCCAATCAACGGCTGGTTCCCCCCCTCCCCCCTGAGTTATATCGTCGCGCGCATCGGCACTGGTTCTCTCGGTCGTATCGCAGTCGTCTAGTGGGCACTCTTGGGGGCGTTGGGTAGCTCCTTGAGAGCTTCACCAATGATGCTGATACCCCTGCGCAGCTCATCCTCGGTGATGACCATGGGCGGAGCAAAGCGGATAATGTCGCCGTGCGTGGGCTTGGCCTGTGAACTAGTTAGTATCACGCAACGTCGAATCGTCGGCGCATAGAGTTTACATACCAGTAGACCCTTCTCCTTGAGCAGCATACACAGGTCCCAGGCAGAGCGGCCATTGGTGGCAGACTCGTCGATAACGCAAGCATTCAGAAGACCCTTACCACGAACAACCTTAAGGATGGGCGACTTGAGGTCAGTCAGGCCCTGGCGGAAAATTTCTCCTAGACGCTGGGCGTTCTCAATCATATTCTCCTCCTCAATGAGCTCCAGGGCGCGAATGGAGACGGCGCAGCCCAGGGGATTGCCGCCGTAGGTGGAGCCGTGTGTGCCGGGCTCAACGACCGACATGACCTCCTTGCTGGCCAGCACAGCACTGACAGGGTACATGCCGCCGGAGATGGCTTTGCCGAGGGTCACCATGTCGGGCTTGACGCCGGCCCAGTCGGAGCAGAGCATCTTACCGGTGCGACCAATACCTGTCTGGATTTCGTCGGCAATGAGAAGCACATTGTGCTTGGTGCATAGCGCCTGGACCTTGGCCAGGTAGTCTTCATCAGGAACCACGACACCAGCCTCACCTTGGATGGGCTCAATGATAAAGGCAGCAGTGTCTTTGCCATGGTCGTTGAGAACCTCTTCGATATCGGCAACATTGTTGTATCGGATGGCTTTGCCAGTCGAGGGCGATATGGCGCCAATGTTGGGAATGTAGGGACCATAGTTGTCCTTGGACTCGGGGTCTGTCGAAAGGGTAATGGCGGCCATCTATCAGGGTAAGTGCAAGTCCGAAGCTAAAATTGTACATTCTCTGTCGAGAGCAACTTACGGTGCGTCCGTGAAAGTTCTCGGCCACGGCAAAGACCAGAGCCTGGTCCGTGTCTACACCCTTGACTTTGTATGCCCACTTGCGGGCAATCTTGACAGCGGTCTCGGTGGCTTCGGCGCCAGTGTTCATGGGAAGCACCATGTCGTAGCCAAAGACTTTGCGGACCTTTTCAGCCCACTTGGGGAAGACGTCATTGTGAAAAGCGCGAGAGCTCAGTGTGAGGCGCGAGGCCTGCTCGGTCAGAGCCTTGACGAGCTCCGGGTGACAGTGGCCTTGGTTGACGGCGCTGTAGGCGGACAAGAAGTCCATGTACTTGCGGCCCTCGGGGTCCCAGACATTGATCCCTTGAGCCTTAGCGAAGACGACGGGAAGAGGCGAGTAGTTGTGTGCGGCGAACTCGTTTTCGGCACCAATGGCAGCCTTGGTGGAGGCGGCGTGGAAGCGAGAGTAGGTCATTCTGAAAGTAGAGGCAGATTGTGCAATTGGAAGTCTAAGATGAAGTATTAATGGAAGTGAGCGGAAAGTTTGCCCTTGTCTAGTTCAAGAGGGAAAAAAAATGGTGCAATCTCTGGCCAGTAGCCGGCCGGATTACATTTCCGGCACCAAAAGACACTTTAAAATATTTGCCCCTCGGACACTGGTAGCCAGACCAGCAACCAGCAGGCCGTTATGTTATGGTGGGGGAGGGGCATTGGTGGTGGTAAGCAAGCAAGACCAGAGCCACACCAAAATGACGTCGATTACTGGTAACGTACCTGTGATTATTGTGTATCGATCGGATCTGGTGGAGGCTGTTTGAGGGTTGAAGATTCGGGCGCGTGCTGGTAGAAGAGGATTGTATGCAGAGGGCTCGAGAGCGAGAGAGTGGGTGGCAAGTAGGCAGTAGTTATACCCGTCTGTAGCCATCACTGGAGCAGCTGTTGCATGTTTCGCGCTCGTGGGTGCCGTACGAATTTTGTGCCCGCCGCTATACCCCTAAGTGCAAGTGTGAGCGCCGTGATGTGGGTTCCATTGGTTTTGTGTTCCAGCAAGGGAGTGCAGAGGCCGACATTCGGTCTGGGCTGGACCCAGGCAAGCAGACACCTTGTTCGGTCGTGTGAATCGGATTTCTTAACCTTTGGATCCGGCGGGCATGTCATTGGCACACGTCTCCCATATCCAGCCCTTTGGATCTCATAAGACACGGTCTCTCTGCCTGTTGGTAAATGTTCTCAGAGGTTTTGACAGCGTCTCCCATCGCATGGTCGAACCTACCGTCGTGCGGTCACCACTGACGTTAGTCGGCCGTGTGCTGCGCTCCACACACACTCACAGAATTTCCCAAAGTTTTTTTCCTGCTATTTTTGCCCCCGAGCATGCGGCGTCCAATCCGTGTGACGACTTGGCAAATCCTCTGGTGTGGCCTGACTAGCGAGGCTTCAGCCCACCAGTAGCAGCAGGCCGAAGCCAACCGGCGCAGTAGGGCGTGGGTTCCAGACATGATCATGTTCACGACGGGTCCCGCGAGCTTTGCGCTGGTCCACACTGGCCGCCGCCGACGTATCGCACCGGTAGCCGGAGCCGGGGTGACGGGGCGGCCGGTCAGGCGCCCCTCACGAGACCAACCACGAGCCAATTGTTGACGAGATGATGACAGGCGGCTTGCACTTGCATGAATGGGTGAGAGCGGTGATGTCGACGGCTGCGGTGTTGTTCGGTTTGCAAGGATGCCGTCTGCTCGTAACCGAGACGCTCATTTCTGCTTGGGATTAGTACTCGTCGAGATGGTTGTCAAAACTCGCCAGGATCCAAGCCTCGAAGTAAATACTATTGAGCAGGAGAGAGATGTAGCGTTCACTGCAGGATTTGAAAAAGGGAAGGAAAATCTAGGTATTTACCAAGGCGCCCTTGCTAATGATAAATTCAGAGCTGCGTTTGTTGCCAGCTGTCAGAGTGTTTGCCAGGGTCCTGCAGTCGCGGGCACTGGTAACTCGTTCCAGAACCTCTCTCCTGCATGATGCATCTTATTCTAGACTACATGCCGTTAAATCGCTATTATTCCTCAGCGCGTTGATCGCACCAAATCTGGATTCGCATCTGACCTGTCTCTAGTTAGCCTCCAGCATCTCAGATGAGATTTGTGCCCCACCGTGCGATGCCGGGCCCCTTTCCTGAGCGCGAGGTAACCTTGTCAAGATAGTTACTCCAAGCACTAACTGTTTGTCCAGTGACATTGGACCGGGATATTCCGTACGCGAGTGGTGCAAGCATAGGTAGGTACGGCATATTCAGTTGCCGCCGGTGATAAGTTTTCTCGATACCGGTTCATTTTGCTGGTGCCTTGCTAAGGCGCGCCGCTGCTGTTCCTCAATTCGTTGGCAACAGATCCTCGCTTGGCTCATCACTTAGACGCATCCCACGGCGCGCGTCTTTGCCTGCACTGCTTGCCGATTTTACCTCCGATGTTGCAATTCTGATACCGATTGCGATACCCGTCATACAGCATGGCACCTTCACGCCCAGTGGCGAAATCTCGCATTTCCTTCACTCATGTCCTCCTCGTCCGCCTCGTTAACGCACTAAGCATCGCCACTTTCTTCCAACCCGACGAGTATTTCCAGTCGCTCGAGCCGGCATGGAATCTTGCTTTTGGCTCCGAAAGCGGCGCCTGGCTCACTTGGGTATGCTCGCTTTCTACCACCAAATCCAATATCGTGGCCTAACCCTCGCTAGGAATGGCACTACCAACTGCGTTCCTCGCTGCATCCCATGCTCTTTGCCATTCCGTATTGGCTGGTTCATCACGCAGCACAGCTTCTGGAACCATTGGGGTTTCCTATCACCTTGCGCTCGAACATGCTCATTGCCTCTCCGGCTATTTTGCAGGGGGTCATCGCTGCATTAGGGGACTGGTACACCTTCAAGCTCGCTTCAAACATATACGGCCAGGACAGCCTGAATGCCAACGTCGCAGTAAGCTAATATATGGATCCAATTTCAAGTCTACCTGCTCACCATTCTAAGCTTATGCTGCAACTTGTCAGTCCATGGCAGTGGTACTGCGCATCGCGCACCTTTTCCAATTCTCTGGAAACCACCCTCACCATCATGGCACTCAGCTATTGGCCGTGGCCACTTCTAGGCGCTGCCACAACGACAAAGGAGAACCCAAAGCTTGCTGATCCGCTCAAACAAACCGGAACCCTCGGCCGCCTCCGCGTCTGTCTATGCCTGGCTGCACTAGCCATTGTGCTACGGCCAACTAATCTGCTCATATGGCTCACCATCGCAGGCCTCACCGTAACGCGCCTGTCATTTCGCGGCGCTTCACCATTCGGCATATCCACAATTGCCGTGCTTGTACGCGAGGCAATTCTATGCGGCACCTTCATCTTGAGTCTGTCATTGGTAGCCGATCGGGTCTACTTTGGATTCTGGACGCTGCCAGCACAAAACTGGCTCTACTTCAACATTACCAAGTCACTTGCCGTTTTCTATGGTCAGAACCCATGGCATTACTATCTTCTTCAGGGCATCCCCCTACTCTGTACCACGATATTACCATTTGTTTTGCCTGCCCTCCTTCGACCCCAGACAAACGGCACCGCGGAGCTCGAAAACACGCACCGTGCGCTAGCTGCAGCCGTCATTGTCACGGTCACGACACTGTCGCTCATCTCGCACAAAGAGGTCCGCTTCATCTACCCTCTGCTGCCCATTTTCTCCATCCTAGCGACTCCTCGTGTCACGTCATTTTTCACATCAGCCCCACAATCAACCACGGCCACGCAGACAACCTCCAGGCGCCAGGTCCGCAACAAGAGGTACCTCATGGCGGGCCTCGCTTTGAATGGCTTGCTGGCTGGTTACCTCTCCTACTTCCACCAAGGTGCTCCCATTCAAGTACTCTCGTTTCTCCGCGAGGACTTCGAGCGCATCCATGCCACCTCCGGGGTGTCGCAGTCCCACGAAAAGAAAGAGCTGTTTGCCCTCTTTCTGATGCCATGCCACTCTACACCGTGGCGTTCACACCTGGTGCATCCGGATCTGCACGTGTACGCGCTGAGTTGCGATCCGCCGCTGAACACAAGCCCCAATACCGTTGAGAGAGAAACATACCGCGACGAGGCGGACCGCTTCTATGACGACCCCGTTGGCTTCTTGAGCCGCGAGCTGTTCTCAGCTACGCCTCAGCTACCGCCGTCATCTGTTCCTGGGGGTCGTAGCCCGGCGGCGGTGCCTGGCCTTCTGAACCCACCGCGGTACATTGTCGGCTTTGAAGGTGCAGAAGAGTACCTGGCGCAATTTCTCACCACGACCGAGGAGGGAAAGGGAATGGGTCTGAGGCTGCGACCCGTGTGGAGAGGCTTTAACGGGCTGTTTCATGAGGATTGGCGCCGCGCCGGAAATATTGTAGTCTGGGACACTGGTGTTTTTCAGAATGCACCTCCTGTTCTGTAGCACATTCGACTTGGTAGCGTAGGAATCAATCGTCGAAGGCTTCTGTGCTTCATACCCACCCACGTGCAGCTCGGGCCTGCCAGATGGCCAAGGTAGTCCTGGTTCAGCAAACAAACGTCCACAGCAATGCGCATAGTGTCGACAGAGAACATAGCCCATGGAAGACCGCAGGCCAGCCGCTCGTTTCCGCGTTTGGTTGGCTCCCCAGCGCCGCCAAGGCGCCCACATATAGCCAGACCACGGTGAAAAAGTACATTAGGAAGCGGACTATTCATCGCAGAAAAAGAATTAGCTATCTTCGTGTTTCAAAGGCTGCGTACAATCGAGAAAACCCCTGCTGAAGGCCGGTCCTTTTTGCGCCAGGGAGGAGGGGGGGGGTTCATGGAACTCACATTCCTCTAAGCAAAGCTGCCGGACAAAGCTTTGAGGCCGGCGGTGATAAAACATGGTCGAGAGGAAGATGAATATGAAAAGATCTGCATACAGATCTGCAAGTTAGCAGGACTTTTCTCTATATGTCACCCACTCACTTTTTCCGATTTTCCCAAGCGGGTTGCTCTGTGTCATCTACATACAGGCCAGCCTGATCGGCGCATCTATTATAAAAGAGCATAACCCTATAACAGCGGGAGACATGTTGAGATGGGTCGTGATTTGAAATTTTGCTGCGATAGATGAGAGCAAAAAGAAGAGTTTGAAGAATTGCCGCTGTGGAACGAGCCAAAGGTGTTGGACAAATTTGTAGAGATGTTTCCAGGTAGCAGAGCAGAAGGGTGTCCAGAATCGAAAACATCGGGGGATACTTGTAGGTATACTTGCAATTAAATGATATTCGCGGGCTGCAGCATAACTTTTTAACTTTGCTGATTTGGCAAGGTTTGCGACTCGCTTTGTGCCGTTGGACGGCCGCGAGCGCGGCGCCAAACCATGTCACACTTTGCAAGAGGCGGAGCAAGCATAGCGGCTACAAAGACATAACATGTTAGAGAAGTAGAGAAGATGAGTGAATTAACAAGAGGGGGCTGTTTGGATATCCTATTCTCCTAAATCCGCCTTCGCAAGGAAAAAATAAATAGTTCGGTACGACATCACCAGCCTCCATCTCCATTCGGTCAACCGCCCATCGAAAACCCAAAAGAAACATCAGATTCATACATACATTTCCATTTGAGGCCTCCATATAACAAAAAAAAAACCAAGAAACAGTAGAGCCGCCTCCAAATCTAACACGTTTCTAAAAAGTCACCACCCAGTAACTTTCGCCCCAAATACAACACCGAAAACTTTTTCCCATTCAACATCACCACATATACAGTTTGTCTTAACCGCAGACCATTCGTCTTTGCCTTGTATGCATCTCTCTTTGTTGCTCCGGGCGGGCTGCGTGGAGTTTCATAACGTTGAAAACCTAAACGCAGGCAGATATTAGGAGGGGCGAGAGAAGTCGTACAGCGCATAAATGACCCAGCCGCTCAGTGGAGCTGGTACATGAGGATGATAAAAAGACAAAAAATTATTAATCCCGTGCCACAACGTGAAACAAGAATTTGCAGGACAAAAAAAGACGCATTCAACAAGCCGTAGAGAGCGAGAGCGTGCCTCGACACGAGGCCACGCGCTCTGCATCATCTCTCTGGCTGGGTATATAATTGTTCGTCACATCGTCAACTATCGTTCAAGAAGCCGGCTTTCTTAACAAGCGCAAAATTTATTCAGCTTTGAGAGTAGCTTTGACGGTCTCAGGCGCTGAATCTTCGGGCTTGATCGCTTGCGACTCAGCGTGGTGGGGCTCGACAGCCTTGGGTTCGACAGACTCAGGCTGGTCAAATTTGGGCTCGACGACTGTAGATTCAGCTTCAACAGCAGAGTTTGGCTGGGCAGTTGGGGCACCCGCTGGTGCCAGAAGGTCCTTATTGGCAGGTATCACTTCGTGCTGTGTAGCAACTGACTCCAAAGCCGGAGCCTCACCCGGATTTGTTGATTTTTCGGCCGCTGCCGCTTCTGCAATAGGTTCTTCTTTGATCGTCCCGACGGGCTGGTGCGCTTGCTCACTAGCTGCATGAGCGGAAGCTTCAGCAGTAAGGTTTTGCGTCGCATCTTGAGCAACTGGGACTTCTTCCTTCTTTGGTAGCGCCTCCACATTGGCTGGGCCGCCCGAGGGCTCATCGCGCTTAATGTCAAGGCTCTTGCCGCGGCCGAGGATAGTTGCACTGATACTCGAGCGCTCGCCTGCTGGGGGCGGCGACTTGTTGCGCTTGTGATCGGCGTTCTCTTTAGCCTCCCGGTATTTGTTCTTGATCCAGCCGAGCGGGCCTTTGGCGTCGCCGTCTTTGCTGTCGTATGACTCTGCGAAAGCCGTTTCTGAGCCATCTGCTTGGAAGCTTTTGCGTACTTTGCTAGAGCTTGCGAAAGAGGTTGTACTCGTCTCCGCGTTATGGTTGAGTCCTAGGTTGAACTGGGGAGGGGTTTCACCGCTGCCATCATCCTTCTTGGTACCAAGTGATAACCACCTCTTCCTCTTTTCTTTTCCAGGGCTTGTTAGCAGGCTGGCAGCCCGGTCGTCAGCAGCGTGGTCTGGGTCTGAAAGGCCATTGGCAGAGTCAACGGGCGACCCTGTCGTTTCGGCAGGAGTATCGGTAGGCTTTGTCCCGACCAGCTCTCTCGTTTCGACAGTGTTTATTGTAGGTTGAGCTGGTTTGGTAGCTGGTGAGGAGATAGCTTCGGTCTTCTCAGTAGCAGTGGGCGTCGCCATTGTTTCGGCCAAGGGCGGTACACTGTCCAGGGGGTTGGACAGTTCAACATTTGGTGAAGCAGCGTTAGACTGCGGTAGAGAGTTACTCGAGCTGTGGGCGCTCAAGTTCACCGTGCCAGGGGCTCTCTTTTTTCGCAGTTTGTTCGGCTGTCGCTTGTCGCTTCCTTCCGTCGGGGACCTTTGAAAAAGGTTTGATACACTCCGTTCCTTGGTCTCTTTGCCATGTGGAGGCACGTCGGGTGATGTTTCCAAAAGTCGATCCTGGCTATTTCCTAACGAAGCCTTGTTTGCAGAGTCGGGGGCTGCCAGAGGGGTGGCGGGCCCAGAGTTTATGGGCGCCTCTGAGAGTCGGGCTGGGGTCAGTGGCTGAACAGAACCAGAGCCGTCCTTGTCGACCTTGGCAAACTTTCGGCCGCTAACATTAGGAGACTTCTTTGACGGGAGAGTATTGCTTCTACTTAAGCCGCCTGGAGGGGGGCCAACCACCACAGCCGGAATAGTAGCCGTAGCGGAATCCTCTTTTTTGGACTTCTTGGACGAGACAGACCGATTTCGTCGCAGTTTGCCGTCTCTACGCACACTTTCAGCACCGGCACTGGCGTTGGACGCAGTTCGGTTCATCTGTGCAGGTGACTCTATGCCGGGAGTGAGCGGCCCTTTGGGAGTACCGGATTGTACTTCCATGACGGTATTTTCATCGGCGGCGGTGCCTTGCATGCCGATTAAGAAGTGATCCTGATTTTCGATGAGAAAAATGATGACGCATTGGTTGAGCCGATACTCCTCTGGAGCCATTGCATGCTGTGGGTGTGACAGCATGCCAGGCTGGAAAATGGCTGCTAGGTTCTGCGACGTCATTCGATTCTCTTCCGACTTGGCAGCAAAGACAGCGAGTAGATCAAGGATGTAAAGCAGCAGCTGGCGATTGAGTGGGGGGAGCTCGGTGATGAGGCGTTGGTACGTCCGGATGGCGGCCTTTTCGTCAAAATCGGGAACGAACTGAGGGCCTTCGGCATCACCGACAATTTGCTTGGTTGCGCCGCGCAGAGGATGGCGAAATTTTTCGTACAAATCTAAAGGAACGACAGGCTCAGGCAGGTCGTTGAGGTATCGGCGGAGGACATTAGCAGCGTCGTGTACTGTGTAGCCGTCCCACACAAGGCCTTTGCCGTATCGATCGGGTGAGTCGAAAACACTCTTCAGCTCTTTGATGCGCTTCTCGGAGCCGCTGAGGCGGAAAATGCCTTCGACGCCAGTAGCTATACAAGTAATATTAGCAAGCTGGGCGATGAGATTGTGGAAGGCGGCCAGTCGCACCCTTTTCCTTTAGGAAGACGCCGCATTTTGCGACGACGATGGGCACGTAGCCGTAGATGTAGCTTTGACCATGCTCATCGATGAGGGAGATGGCGACGTTTGCATAGGTTATACTCTGTCGCAACGGCACTCCGAAAATTCCGGGGGCTCGGGTCTCTGCACAAAGGAGTCAGCAACGGCGCAACAAAGACAAAGGAAGAGTAGACGCAAGAGTGGTGCGATTCGAGAGTAAAGGGGGAAGCTTTCTGCTCCGGGCTGACTGGCAACACAGATGTGTGATGGCTGGAGAACCGCTACACAGCTACCGACGCCGAGGAAATAGCCAGACGCAACACAAAGAGCTTGGCTGTCCTGCAGGTGGACGATGGTGGGAGCCAGAGGCCAGGACCATAGGCGGCCGTAGCTCGCATCTCGGTCTGGGGACTCGGGAGGCTCTGTACACGAGGGAAATGAGACAGATTAATTCGTACCAGGCTGATCTTGATTTTTTGAGGGGAGAATGAAGCCCTTCCACCATGACTTGAGATCGCGTTTGTTGGGCGGCGAAGAGGGCTGGAAAGACGGCGCTGTTTGGGAGGCGGCCTGCTTAGCCGCTGGGGTGGCATAGGCCATTGTATTATTATCTCGGAAGAGCGGCCGTGAAGAGGGACGAGGGCGGCGGGTTGAGAAGCTGTCGCTGGGTGCGGGAGAATGGCCAGAAGCGTCGGGGTGGATAAGCGCTTCTCAGCTTGAAAGGCCAGCTCTGGCGCGGCGTGAGCGGATGAGAGGCTCGGTGGCACTGCAGATAAATCGGTGCGAGTATGGCGAGAGGACCAAGGCAGAAGAGAAAATCGAGGCGTGGCGAGATGCGCTTATGGTCGAGTTGTCGCGCGGGTCGATGAGACCGCACGAGATGATAGCTTCTTAGCGGCGGTGTTGCGACTGTTCGTGCTAGCGGCGAGCGAGCCTTGGCTGTCAACGATGACGGGCGGGAGCCGTGGAAGCGAGAATCGTTAGCGAAGCAGCACGGAGAAAACTAGGTCGAGGGAGCGACATGGGCGCTTTGCGTGGCAAGGAAGGGGCGCGATGTGTCGAGGAGAGGCATGGGCGTGGGTGAGGAAATCGCGGGCGCTGGAGGGGGATTGGTCGTGGCGAGAAACGATGAGGCTATGCGGGTTGGAGAAGAGGCAGTATGCGTCTTCTGACTGCAGATTACAGAGAAGAAGGCGAGGAAATGGGAAGGAAGCCAAGGCGGCGGCGACCAAGCGGCGGTACCTAGTAACGTTAGTGGCTACGCTATCTGGTAAGGTACCTAGCAAGGCAAATGACAGCCAACTTGTACGGATGCGGACTAGGGAGGTACTTTGCTATTTAGGCCCTGATCTACAATTACTTGCCAAGCTATCTGCCACTGCCACTGCTACCTAGGTAGTTACACTGTGAGAGCCAGGGATTGCAAGGCTTTGTGGGCAGACTTTCTAATTACCAGTTCATAACAAAAGAAGAGGAATGGTAGTGAGCGGCACAGCAGGTGCAGCATCCAAAATGCGCCCAGTCCTAGCAAGCAGCGCAGGCGATGGATAGGTATGTCCTACCGAGTCTGAATCTCTTTGTTCATCATGTCCTACTGTTGGCAGGAAACAGAGTACAAGCCTTTATTACAACATGCAACTCCTAACAACTGGTAATAAATGCGAATAGTTAGTTATGCGTCATTTCCATATTCGGCACCGTCAACAACTCGGCATCACTGGCTGATGACACCCCTGCCTTCCCTGGACATTGAATAATTAACTCTTCGGCTCCCGATCAAAGTCATCTGGGTATTATTATTAGCTGCTCATTGGGGTGTGATGTCCAAACACCGCCAGAGAAATACCACCATCAGTACTCTGCTTGCAGACAAACTGCCAAGGTAGGGAGGCTGAGCAAAACCTGCAAAATATTCACCTACTCCGTCTGTACAGAGAACGGAGTACATATGATATCACTACCTTGCGCGACTTTAAAATTAGCACACGCATTGGGCCTCTCATTTTTCCATCAGAAATTACGGCACCGCCCACACCGTCGTCGATCGTGCGAGGAGACCCTGGCTCCCTGTATCTGCACCACTGCCGCCATCAACCACAAACTCAGTCCCAGGTATCAAATCTAGCTCTAATTAGTACTAGCAGTTACTACTGAATAATACTGGCCTTGCCGAATGTGACCTGTATCAAGCCTGGCCCAACCCCACGCCCGCCTCTGGCCAGGACGCTTCTACGCTGTGGCAGTTAAGGTTTCAGCGCGTAGCCGGTGTGGCTTGCTGGCGGCACGCGCCGTGGGATGGTTGGCTGGCAACTTACTGCACGAAGCTCTTTGGATAGCAGTCATCGTGTTTTGCCACTCTCTATGCGGGAAGATGAAGGAAGACTCCGTGCCTTGGTAGTCTTACTTGCCCACTTTTTCACCGTTTATATAACACGATTGTTATATGAATAACGGCGAGCTCCCTCGTTTGACGAGGAAGCTCAATCGAAATACCTAAAACACGGCGGCAATAAGGACCGCAACACGACAAACCTCAAGAGCATCGCTGCCAACAGCAGGTTGGAAAGAGCACCAAGATTGTTGCCCTGTGCAAGCTGACTCACCGCAGGACGCAGGTGAGCATGAACAGCCTCGCAAGAAACCCGAATCATTAGTTAGGCTCAGGCAGATTCTAGTGGGTTTTCTTAGCGCCCTCCTTCCAAGGCACGAGGCAGGCAAGCAGGTTCACTAGGAGCCATGGCATGGTGGGCTTGCATTGCCCGCCTGGCCGCGCGACAGGCCGCTGTCTGTGTCTGCGCCGCCTTTCTTGGTCTTCCAGTAGTTAACTCTTCATTCAGCCTCAGGCGAGCCACCAGTGCTAAATGCAATTAGTTATGATTAGACTTGCCTAGCTTGGGGTTGCCACGCGGCTTTGCACAAGGCCCCAAAGCCCTACCACGGTCCAACTAGCAACTGGTATCTTGTACATTCAACCAAAAGGGAGAGCACTGGTTGTTAGAAGTTGCCTTGCATTTATTTCCAGATCCTTGGCCCATTCCGAGGAAGACCGGGGAAATCCAGTTTCAGCCTTTGACGCCCAATTTGCCAGGGGTGCTTCCGTTTTGAAGAACAAAACTTCTGGGGCAGGCTGCTTCTAAAAATAAATTCGGCACAAAAGAGGACGAACCAGAAATCTAGACCCAAACCCATAACCGAGCCAAGGAGATATCTCAGACTACTTCCCTCGTGCGACCGGCGGTCACGAATTGATCCCGCCGCGATACCCACGACTATTTTCGCCGTGCCCTCACTCTCTCCCATTCAGTTCAGCGCGTTTGCCCGGAGCAAAAACTGAATCTCGTGTTCCAGTCGTCAGCGGGTGCGACATGTGTGCGGTCATTCCAAGAAATAGGCAGTAATGCATCGACAGTCACCGCGTGGCAGCCAGCGATCGTATCATGCAGTCGTCGCCCACACACACACATACACCCAACACCCCGGGCGGTTAACAGCGATTCTAGGCCTGTCCAATAGGTTACCCGAGAGCATTGAAGTTGCAGATCGCTTTCCTAGTGCTCCCCCACTTCATCCATTGGACTGCTCTGGCATGAGGTCCCGCTGTAGAACCACAGCATTTTCTCGCGATACGAAGTGTTTGAACTCCTGAGGAGATCCCATCGTATTCCTCAAGCCCACTTCTTGCTGCAGCAAGAAACGATGAGATTGCCATTTCCAAAAGCAGCTGCGGCACCTATAAGAGAACTACATCAGGTTGCGTTCAAAGCTGGATGGTGGTGCGCACAAGGGCTTACCGGCGCAACTTTCGTCAGGGCGCGTGCAGTGATCAATAACATAGAGAGCGCCCTTAGCAACATCCTGGCTGGAAAATATGGCAAGTCAATAGCTTAATCTCCAGCTCTCAGCAGTCCATGATAAAACTTACCAGTGCGAGGACTCGCTTCTGCCGGTGATGGAGACTCCATTGATATGGGCGTCACCGGAGCTGCAAAATCGGACACTCACTCGGCCACTGGGGACCACGCAGTCCTGAGTTCGGAGATTTTGCAAGTAATTCATGCAGGCAATTAGACTCTTCACGCTGGTGTAGGCTTTATCATCGGGACCACAAACGGGGTTAAAGAAGGGGGAGAATTTTGTATCGACTTTTAGTTCCCACAAGGTTAGCAGCTTCAGGTTCTGTACGGATCAGAGGCGCCAACATACGAGTCAAGGGTGGCGGCATATTGTATAGTTGCTCAGAAGTGAGGCCCAAAGACTCGAGGCTGGGAAGCCCGGGTCCGGGCCTGACTTCGGGATATTCAATCACTCCGGCCAAGACCACAGGAAGCATGGCAAGAGCTTTCAGAAGAACCTTAGTTGGCATTTTCAAGAATGGGTGGTTCTGTAAAGCTGCGGCTTGTCGGCTCAAGAGACAAAGACAAAGACCAGGGCAGCATTTATAGCAAGTGGCACCCATCTCCCCTGCCGGCAACAAAGACGCTGTCCTTCTGTCTATATCCTAAAGCAATATCTTCTCGTTTTTTCAAAAAAGTGCATCGATGCATGTTTCTCCTCCAACGAAAAGCCAAGCTGTTTGCCGGGGGGGGACTTTTGATCCAGCTGTGCTGGTGTGGGGGAAACCTGCATGTTCTACCCAACCTGCACCAAAATGCCCCCCAAAGCTGATATCACAAGGCGAAAGACGCAGCTTCATGTAAGTATTCACGAGCCTTTATTGAACTTGGGAGAGGCAACCGGGCTAGCAGCTTGGCAGACAAAGAATAGCCGAGTTGAAGGCAGAAATGATGCGGGCAGAGTTGATTCCTACTGTGACACGCCCCCGCCCGTCTCCTAAACGAAAAGAAGCTGTGAAGCTAATTACAGTCCTTTCAGACCCAGCGAGCAGTTTCCACGGAGCTGGAGGAATCAGGGACCAAGGCGAAACCGCTGACGCAGAGTGTAATAACAGCCATCTCCTGAGAACCGCCGTTGTGAATAGTATAAAAAAATGTCTACAAGCTGTACCAGTACATTGAGGCCCGCAAATTCCCAGCCTTATCCGCTCGCAGATCAATTAATAACGTCACCGCTTCCCCTCTTCCGACATCCGTCACCCCCAACCCTTGATACCTTTGATGGACAACTTCAGCCCAACGCCACCTTCTGGGGAAACACGTACGTCAGACTGCATGAGGCGGGCCGGATGGGTTGCGCGCGAGCCCTGGCTGATTGTAGTCATTGCCTCGATGCCTAATCAGTGTTTCTATTATTATCCAAGACAGCAGGGATATGTACCAGACACTGGTCGTAACGGTATACAACACGAGCAAAGGCTTTCATTTACCCCTCCAGAGAGGGCTCCAACTGCCGGTGATGGGTCGCTAGCTTATTGCCTACCTCACGTCAACAAATGGTGGAACGCGCGTATTGTCATTTCCATAAGACTGGTTTGACTGGTACTCTGCATAATAATAATCGTCAAATTACGGCGCGATGGGCTTTTTCTAACAAATACCTGGCTAGGCTGGTGTTGAGGACCCAGCTGGAAACGTACTCTAAAGATCCCCATCAACAACCGTTGTGAGAATCAGGAATACTGCGGGGAGCGTGAGCTAAGGTTTATAGTGAAATAATTGGAATGATGTTGAACTGTTCTCCGCACCCGAATGACAGAGATTTCTGAACAATTATGCCCTCGCTGCATTGTTGAGTTGGCTAGAATATTGTCACGCTCTTATTGTTAGGGCTATGGTCCACGGCTTACCCTAGAGACGACGGAAGGTACTACTCGTCAACCTTCTGGGGAGAGGAAACATGGATCTAGAAGACCTTTTCTGTGTGTTTTTCTGAGAGTTTAAGGAGGTACGATGTCGAATTCCAGAAGATGCTTCTTCTTCGTCGCATTGAATGTCGTTCAGTCAGACAGGCTGTTAGTGCGCAATCGAGTTTCTTCCTGGACAGGCAAGCCTGTTCTGACCGCCAGCGCCTCCTTCCCAGTAGTTTCTGCTTCCCAAGGGTAAAGCTAACATTGTTTTGGAATGGTCAACAGACATCTTATCAGTCGATATCGACCTTGCTCTCTGTTCTGTGGACGCCGTACACATATGCCTCTATCCCCTGCGTGTAGAAAGGATCCCACAAAACCTATTGCAAATGGTTTTGTGTATCATCTCTTATTCTGTAGGGATGCAGAGCGATCATAGAGACAGCATGTCAAGGGGAGACCTTGTTTGTTCGAGCCGTGGGCTATAACTGCTCATGCCGAATTCCTGCATTCAAGCGACAGGTGAGGGTTCTGCAATTCATGTTCTACAGAATTGTTTATTTAACGAGAAATTGTGTGCCAGGATACGTATCATAGGCCCCCGCAGGCCTGATTGCAAGCACTTTATAAGGTTAGGCACCGCTTCGTTTATAAACAGCTTTCTTGATCTATTCAAGCGTGAGACCTGGGCCATTAGTGACGGGGGGTTTGCCGAGAAGCGCGCGGGGAAGATGTGCGCTCCTGGTGTGCATTCGCCCTAAATGTTGGTCCGCAGCGCCTAGGATCGTTTTAAGGCTGTGGTGTGTTCTTCAAGAGGACCTGACAGGCCATCACCGTATCCGACTGGTACTTAACTGTTTGCGAAGCCTCGTCATGTCCCTCACCGGTTCACCGTCTGAAAGCGGCGGCAAGCACAATTGGACAAGGGCGGATTCTTGGAGGACTGAGAAGAATCTCACGCTTTCTGTATGGTCGAGGAATGTTTTATTCCCGCGTCACTGACTTTGCGCTTTGATTTGGGCTTGTTCAGCTGGTTGCTGTGCTACGTCGGCACGCCAGAGCCAACATAGTCAACATTGTTCCAAGCGTAGTTTGACAGGTTATTTGCAAACTTGTCGCAAGAAATACCCTGATGACATTGAAGATGTTGCAATCGGCGGAAATAACGGTCGGGTAAATACTGATGTTGGGTCTACATCGGCCAGGATATGAAAGACGGCCGAGTGCATCGTCAACGAAATCAGCTTATTATTGCAGACCCTAGGCTACACGTTCGCACTGAGGGGGTGAGGAAAGTTTCTGAGCAAGGCACGCCTTTCACTTCGGCCAAGCACCCTGTTGCACACGCTGCGGAGGATATATCTGGTCACATTTTTGACGTTGGGCCATTGCACCACCACACCATCATGTGGTAGTTAATTAGTTATACATTCTGGTATCGAGACTTGAGCATGTTTCGGGGAGCAATGAGTGTACTCTGTCCGTAGGCCGGCTGTGGCTTGGCTTGGCTATTTATCCTTCAGCACCTTGCCACATGGGGTAAAGTTTCCCGCACCACTGATAATCAGATGACAGTTTCGCATGTTCCTAAACAGGTAATCACTTTGTTAGTTGACTAGTGAGAGGGAAGCGTGAACTAAATCTACATAAAAGCATGGCAACTATGGAGTAGTTGGATGCCTTTGCAAAGGCCGCTGCACAAGTCCAGGGAAAGATAGGGCACAACTGGCGGACATTGTTTGAGGAGACCAGATTAACTAACTAGCAGATCAGGCTGCCGCTTTGTTGAGCGTCAGATGCGTGTCTCAGCTGAGAAACGCTGAAGCATCCAGGGAGCTCGGGCGGCAACGGACGGGCGACGAGCTGTGGCGGGCGAGCGATTCTTTTCTCTGGAGGAATGGCCCTGTAACTAGGTATATCGCCATTGGACCGGCCATCACTGATGTTGTTTGGTGGATTCTCTTGGATGCAAACAAGCTGACGGGTGCCTCTTATTAGTACCTTGTCAGGCGGCGCTGTGGCTGCGATGGTCGCTGGTGTTGGAGATGGCAACAAGGGCGCGTCACACTCGCTCTGCAGTGTGATTATGCAGCAAAGTGACAGTGAACAGAGCAGACGGTGACTCTGTAACTAGTTATTATATGCCGAGAAATTGTGCGTTTTTTTTTTCGTTGGTCGTATTTCTCGCACACCTGTCAGCGCCGCAGCATCGAGGCTTACTCAGCCTCGTTAGCCCAAGTTGGCCCGGCTTTGGTCACCTCTCTCGATGGTCCAGGCGACTAGCGACTAACTAGCGACTACCAACAAACGACGCTCACCAACGCTCGGATTTCAACCTACATTAACTGGATGAATCCCGCCCGTTTCTCGTCGCGCCCACGCTCTGCTCTCCTCCTGCCATCAACGCCTGCACGACCGCCACGCCGCTCATTGGCAGCCTACTAGCTCGTCCCTGACATTCCAGCGTCTGCTGCCCAGGTTTCAGTGGGAAGCCGCCCGCCACGGTGCTGTCCGGGGTTCATCGCAGCGGCCACGCCCGGCACGCCCACCGCCCAACACAAGCTAAACGGCTACCCATTCTCAGCGGGTTTTGCGCCTCTCCAGTGCCTCGGGCTTGAGCTTGATCCTCTGCTTGCGAGATCGGCGGCTGCCTTGCCGCCCCTGTGTGCAGACATGTCCCCGTCGACCATTTCTGCGACAAGCGCCCGCCCGGCTGGCTACGGACAGTCGTGCACCAACTGCTCCCGCGCCAAGTGCAAGTGCATCCTCACCACGGTTGGCAGCGCGTGCGAACGCTGCGGCCGTCTAGGCAAAGATTGCCAGCCCATTGCCACGGCCAGAAAAAAGGTCGCCAAGCGAACGGCGGCGTCGCGGACGGCCCAGCTCGAGGAGAAGCTCGATGACCTCGTCTCCATCCTCAAAAACTCCCAGGGCCACCCCGGCCAGGAACAGCAGCAGCAGAACTTGCAGGAACAGATTGCGCAGCACCGCCAGCATCTAGGCTACAGCCACATGCAGCATGTGCCGCAGCAAACTAGATCGCAAACCGCAGCCTTGGACTCGCTGGCGCAGGCTGCCACCACGGAGAGGCACAACGGCCCCGGAATGAATCGCGGCAGTGCCATTGACCCAAACATGGCCAGCGGCCAGCTGCACAGGGACCCAACGGCTGAAGAGGCCGATGTATACCTGGCCAAATTCCGCACTTGGCTGCCGGGCCTGCCATTTCTTCACCTGCCGTCCGACATGAGCGCCAAAGCGTTGAGAATGGAGAGGCCCTTTTTGTGGCTTTCCGTTATGAACTTGGGGTCTGATTCCCACTCACAGCAGCAATTTTTACGGGAGAAAGTACGCAGGGAAATGTCGGAGCGCATCATCATGAACCACGAGCGCAACATGGACATTGTACAGGGACTCATTGCCAATCTAGGATGGTATGTCTGCCCTTGTCCAGCTCATCACCGCAAAAGTCTAACGCAACATACAGGGCCACATTAAATACAGGACCAGGTGCCAGACCATTCGTTGTTTTATTCGCGCAGTTAGCGACGTTGGTCGTTTACGAACAGGGCATGATGCGGCCACCGAACCAGGAACACTTTTCCTCTGTCGGCTTCAAGGCCTGGAACATGAGCACCCTCACGCCAAAGGCTCGTACAATGGACGAACGGAGAGCCGTCTTGTCGTTGTGGTTTCTTACCTCAATGTCAGTACCGTCAAGAAACTCTAGTGCGACATGCCTTGCTAACGTGAGCAGATGTAATGCACTCACTGCGCGAACAGAAACATTACCGTGGACGAGCCACATGGACGAGTCTTTGAGCATCCTCGAACGCGGCGATGATCAACACCTCGATACCATGCTCGCAACAATCATTAAAATACAGAAAATATGTGACGAAGCACACCGTCTACTTATGCAAGATTTGCTTCCCAACGCGCCCCCAAAAGACATCCCATCCTATCTCTACAAACCGAGTCTCCTGGAGAGACTAAACACCATCAAAGCAAATCTGCCACCACGCTTTGCCACCAACTGTTTGTTCCTCTAGTCCTCGAATCATTGTGGTACGACTAACATGGAATAGACACAATCGTCACACATCTTGTTTCGACAGAATGCCAAATTCATGCCATTGGCTTGTTTTCCAACACACGAATCCCAGAGACACAGAGTGTTGAATCAATGTACCGGTGTCTCGCTTGCATTCGAGCATTTTACGACGCCTTCTTTTCGATTCCGCTAGGCGACATTGCCGGTCTTCCGCTCCATACATATGTCGCCTTATCCACTATGCAGGTCATGCTATACAGACTTACTATTTCCGACAACCCGAACTGGGACAAGGAGGTGGTGCGGCAGACTGCGGATGTCATGGACATTGTGGACAGGACGATTGAGCTATTTGAAAAGGTAGCCAGCGTATACCCAATGCGGGACCAACAAGTGCAGGGCAACTTGTTCCAAAAGGGCGCCAAACAGATGCGCAACCTCCGTGCCATGTGGCAGCCTATTGTGTCCAAGCATTTTGGCACCATGCCCACCCCCAATAGCCAGCAAAATGGTGCCAGCAGGGCTGCAACTGAGCAGCCTATGCTTCTTGATACCATGGTCGACGGCGAACCGATTGATTTCAACGACATGTCATGGATGGCGGATATCTTTGGACCCTGGGGGGACATTCAGTGACCATCCTCTACAGCTATAGCTCCTTCTTTCATTCCCATCATTTACGATACAATAGGATACAAGCCCGAATCTAGTACAAATCTGACACTAGCGATGTGCAGCTTACGAATTACTTGATATGACTTGTGCAAATAGAAGATGGGTCGGTCATTGAATGTGATGACCAGGGCGGCTAGGTACATACATGACGCTGGGCGCACCCATCTTCCTGGAACTCCAACTCGTTTTGCAATACCGGAACATGGTCGGCTTACGAAATGGACTCGACGAATATAGGACATGGCATGGCCCCATGGATAATAGCACGGGATTGGCGCGGTCGTGTGAAAACGCTATGCTCAGCTGAGGCTCATTCACCATCTACAACAACCGTCGTCTGATCAAAAACGTCCTTAAAGCCTATTCGCCCCGCGCTCACATCTTAAGAACAGGCGTTCATTTAAAACGTGCAGCATTTCCGACGCGGTTAGCGGAGCGGAGCCTCGCGAATCCCGTAGACCAGGGGGCCATGTGCTTTTTGGTAAATGGCAAATAACTACGACCTTGAATCAGCTGAACAGCGACTGGACTCAGATGCGGCCCGCTCTCGCAAGGCTCCCGTTGCGTGATGCCGCCGGAGAAGTCAACCTCGAAATTGTCCAAAGTTTGCAGTATGACGCAGATGTTATGGTGGCCCTGGCCGGCGAAGTAGACAAGCCTCGATACTGGTCGCCGCGAGGAGAAAATGTCGAAATCGCCCCGTCGTTCGGAAGGGTCTCAGAAGTGGAAAGGTATTCCACGGCTCCCATGCCCCTCTCTGCCTGAGATTATTCTATGGAGACTAATTAGGCCGGGATTCTACAGCCGCAGCAGAACGATTCCCGTATAGGATGACAGGAAGTATCATGGAGAGGGCTCTGCTAACATGCCCACCAGGTGAGTTCTGGTGTAGTGAGTTTGGCGGCGGCACAACGGTTGAGTAGCTAGACTAAGATGATTTTGACAGAGTCACCTACATCATAGGAACAAGAGAGCAATATCAGGCGAAACGCCAGAGGTTGTCATGAATACAAGTGAAACGAGGCTCGCCTGATCGCAAGCCCCGTCCACGAGATCGCGATAGCCTCACTACAACTGAGACAGAAATGACCCTAACTAGGAATTACAGAATTACGAAAAACAAAAAGAAATAAAAAAAGATCAAGTGGTATTTTAGAAGCAAAGCCGGGGCGCATGACAGCTGCACTTCAGCCCAAGTCGGGGATTGCGTTGCGCTTACTCTCTTGTCCTATTGGGGTAGCGTTTCCCGTGCGGCGCTGCTGACGGGATCACCCTTGGCCCCCCTCGTACCAGGCCGGGATTCGTGAGAGGGGGCGGCGCACTGGAAATCGAATAGGTAATCGAACGCAGCTAGAGTAATTCGAATATCAGGGAAATCTCAATGCGGCAAGTTGCGTTGCAGGGCGTGGGCAACTCGGAGGGCTCCATCGTGTAAGATGACGGGGTACCCGGTTCAGGGCTGCACCAGTCGCACTGTAATAGCCGTTGTTGCCATGCGGAGATGCCCTGCAATTGCAGAAGTGGAATCGAGATTTCTTTTATATCTATACGGCAGTGCCCACCTGTCGTGTCTTGTGAGCTGTTTCACCTTACGCTTGTATAACAGCCTCACTCAGCAACAACGACTCGACGACAAACAGGCTGGTAGCATCATAATCAAAGAGTATACGATATAGAACGAGGTGGACAACACAAGAACGTCGACCCGGACTTGGCCAGATCCCACCAAGACCGGATCCAATATGGGTCGCTCCAAACGCAGCCTCACCAACCCTCTGCGCCGGGACTCGACCGTCGGTTCCGCGGCGCCTACCTCATCCCACAACCGGTCCGCCTCGTCCGTCGCTGAGCGCGCTCCGCAGCTGCCTGAGATTTACCTGGAGCCGCTCGACTTTACCGTGTTGCGGGAGAAGAGGGTATCGCGGGCGTCGTCGGTCAGGACCAACCCCGATGCCGCCGGCCCCGGCGGCCTCGACATGTTTGACGTGCGCCTCTCGTACAATGCCGCCCGCCGCAGCCTGATTCGCGACAAGGACGAGGTGCCCGACTTTTCCGGGCTCGGCGAGGAGCACGTGCCGGCAGTGCCGCAGCTGCCGGTGGACCTCCGCACGATGCACTCGTCCAAGATGAAGGAGGTCCTGGGCATGGATCCCGGCGAGGAGACGGACGGGGGCCGCGACGGCTCGTACACGCCCGAGTCGGTGCTCAAGGTGGCAGGGGAGGAGGAGGAGGAGCCCGAGTACATTCACGGTTGGCGGCTGGGTAGTGTCATGCTGGCGATTACGCTGGCGTGTTTCTTGTACTTGTTGGATGTGTCTATTCTAGTCACTGTATGTTCTTACCCAGGGGACCAAGATGCATCTTGTTTTTTTCTTGACTAACTTTGGTTCCCAGGCTATCCCCAAAATTACGAGTGATTTCCACTCGCTCATGGATATTGGCTGGTATGGTGCGACTTACAACCTGGCAAGGCACGTATCATCAGCAACCCGGTTCAAAGACTCTTTACTGACCAAGCCGCAGTGCCGCTCTGCAACCACTGTCTGGAAAGTTCTACACCTATTTCCACGCCAAGTGGACCTTTCTCGTCTTCTTCCTCGTCTTCGAGCTCGGCAACCTGGTCTGCGGCCTGGCCACGTCGTCCACCATGATCATCATCGGCCGCACCATTGCCGGCGCCGGCGCGTCCGGCCTCACCAACGGCAGCTTCGCCATCGTCACGGCCTGCGCGCCGATGGAGAAGCGGCCGCAGCTCATGGGCATACTCATCGGCGTCTGCCAGATGGGCCTCGTCGCCGGCCCGCTCATCGGCGGCGCCTTGACCGAGTTTACCAGCTGGCGGTGGTGCTTCTACATCAACCTGCCCGTCGGCGCCGTCACCATCGTCGCCTTCCTCGTCACAAACATTCCCGACAAACGCAAGTACGTGCAGAGCCCGGGCAGGCTGACGCTCCAAAAGATGGACATGCTCGGCTTCGTGCTCTTTGCGCCCGCGGCCGTCATGATCCTGCTGGCGCTCGAGTTTGGCGGCAATAAGTATGCGTGGAGCTCGCCGACGATTATCGGCCTTTTTGTCGGCGGCGCCATCGAGGTTGTGCTCTTCCTCTTGTGGGAGCGTCGCGCGGGTATGACGGCCATGATCCCCCTGCCCATCATCGGCAAGCGAGAGGTGTGGACCGCCTGCGTAGCCAGCATGTTCATGTTTTCGACCATGTTGGGTGCCGGATACTACCTGCCCGTCTACTTCCAGACCGTCCGTGGCCTCTCGCCTCTTCGCAGCGGCATCTCCATGCTGCCCGCCATCGTGACACAGCTTGTTGCCACTGTTGTTTGTGGCGGCCTGGTGCAGCGTGTCGGCTACTATCTACCTTTTATGATTCTGAGTGCTGTCATCATCGCCGTTGCAAACGGCCTTATCTCCACATGGGGCCTTCACACTCATACGCTGGTTTGGGCTGGCTTCCAAGTTCTCCTTGGTATCGGTCGCGGTATGGCATTCCAGATGCCCATCATTGCCATCCAAGCACATACACCCCCGGCGCTGGCTTCTGTCGCCACTGCCACAATGGTCCTGTTCCAGACCTTCTTTGGCTCCGTCTTCCTGGCCATCGTCAACACGCTCTTCAACACCAAGCTGAAGCAAGAGTTGACCACGCGCCTGCCTGAAATCGGCGCCGACAAGATTATCAATGCCGGTGCTGCCGACATCGGGAGCGTTGTCCCTGCAGACAAAATTGATCAAGTTCTAGAATCGTACTCTCTAGGTGTAAACGAGGTGTTTTACGCCATCGCAGCAATCTGCGTGTGCATGTTCATCTTTTCCTGGGGTACCGGCTGGACCGACATTCGCAAGAAGCCGGAGAAAGAGAAGGGCGATGTTTGAGAAGCTGTGGCTTTTGATGTTTTGATGAATTCGATTCTTGCAAATTATTTAGTTGTGCGTCTGGCTGTAATGAGCACATTACCATCTGGTTTGCGTCCAGCTCTGGTTTTGCTCTTGTTACTGGGCTTCTTCACCCACACATACGCTCATAGTCTCTGCATGCCTGGAGTTTAGGTTTGGTTTTTGCTTCTAGGGCTTTCCAATGACGCTTGAAAGATACTGAGAATAAATTTGTGCAGGATGCACACTGAGGGCATGATCAGACAGAATTATTGTATGTACATTAAGACTTCAACATATGGTACGGAATTACTATATATTCTAAAACCGCTATAAACCCTGACTAACTGAGAATCGAAAGACGCAAGTCGTAGTGGGAGCGTATACCTCTTTTTTTTTTTCGGGCACGACCATGTCGTGCGCTGCAAAAGCGCATTGATGTCGGCAGCTTAGCTGGTTTCTCAGACGGCAAATTTTGACTGTACACCACACCCAACCACGTTTTCATCAAATGTGGCGCGCTTTTTCTCGAATACCTCTAAAAAAAAATCGGTCTGAATAGACACGCCAGAGCAATTTCCATGGATCGGCCTCAAAATCGCCAGCCGCGGCCGCCAAGAGGAAACGACCGCGGTGGTCGAGGCGGCAGGGGCAACAGAGGCGGAAGAGGACGTGGTGGACGAGGCGGAGGATCGGGCCACTGGGCACCAGCCACGCCGCAACAATCCACCGGAACCGTGCCTACAACCAGGGATGTTGTCCCCGGGGCCGGTGTTTTCATAATCCTCAAAGACGACCAGCCTACCGGGCAGGAAACGCGCGGTGTGGTGGGCGAGGTGCTCACGTCGGGCAACCATCCCAGGGGCATCAAAGTGCGTCTGCGCGGAGGCCAAGTCGGTCGAGTACAGCGCCTGGACAAGGCACCACTCGATAATGCAGACAACAGAGAAGAAAGACCTACCGGAGATGACGCAAGATCATCCAATGCACAGATGAGTGCTGGTCCTGCGCGCGGAGGAGGCAGCGCGAGGTTTTCACATCGATATACAGATGTGCGCTACGATGACTATCTAGAAGGGCCGCCGGAGAGGAGCCTGGCCGATTTCCTGCCAGCTGACTTTGGAGTGCCTGCTGCGGCCAAGAAGGCGGCAACACCGACTGTCAAATGTCCCATGTGCGAGGACTTTGAGGGCGACGAGACGGAAGTGACACATCATATAGATCAGGTGCATCTCGTTTGAGGGAATTGGAAGCGGAAATCAATGCAATATTGGCATTCGAAAGGATTTGTCATGAGATACATGGATTGATGGTTGGAATGGAATCCAAGGATCGCGTCGCTGGGAATAAATATAGGCCCAGTATGTATCTACATAGGAGATGCCATGGGAAAGGTCTCCAAGTACGATATCTATATTACTGCAACTTGTTCACAACAATGACAGATGAAGCACTACATTATGCAAATTGAGACTTTTCAAGGGAAGATGGAGATGCATGAAGAGAAAGGGAGTGAGGAGGGGAAAGCAGAGACGATTTGTATTTATCAAGCTTCAGCACAATGGTCCGTGCACTGGATGATTATCAGACCGTAAGGGTACGGGACAATCAGAATATTGATCTGAGTGTCGTGGCCGGTCCGGCACAATTTGCAAACGGGCATGGAGTGAGTGGCGCTGAGACGGTTCTGCAAACGGAGCAGACCTATGTCGTCTGGCCAGGTAAGTAATGTGCAATCTCGTGAAACATGTATTCATTAGGATTTATTCTAAGCAGTGCGTTCCTTCAATGCTTTGATGTTGTTTTGGGAAATGAACCGTATTCCTTTATTTTCACGAGGATCGTTTCATGCACGCGCATATACATATAATACATTAATCTACTAATTTTCCTCTAGCTATTTATTACTTTTCTAAGTATTAAGAAGATAAAATAACTTACTAGTTAGGAATACTAAATTCTTTTTTATTCTTATTATTTTCTTACTATTTATTAACTTCTTTTTCTTTTTAATTTTCCTTAATTTTTCTATTCTCTTTATTTTACTTATCTTACTTATTTTACTTATCTTACTTATCTTACTTATTTTACTTATCTTACTTATTTTACTTATTTTACTTATCTTACTTATCTTACTTATCTAACTTATCTAACTTATCTTACTTATATATTCTAATTCCCCTTATTCCTATTCCTAGTAACTTATAAATGCGGCCTTTTTTTATTGCCCGCATGCTAAGGCAAACCTTGTAGCCACTGGTCGATGTCCATTCCATGCTCAGATGCAGGAAGGACACCTACCTGCAAGAGATCGCCACAATAGTCTGGCTCAAAGTCTTCAGGCTTCGCAAGTGCAAAGTCCGTTGCAGCTCCAGACATGGCCCATATATTCAGACAGTGCCATTGGGCGTCGATAACAAGCCGCATGTTGGTTGCGTCCTCCCAGGGCAATGTAATGTCGACTTCATTGCCACTAATAACGCCATGGCCGTCTATGTCTCGGGAGATCCGGTTGCCGGGCAAAGCTCTTGGTAGAAATCTGTCTCTAGACATTTCGGACAGCGTATCATAGTTGAGCTTGAACTTGTCATTGGCTCGCCAGCCTTTCTTGACGTTGAGCCAAAAAAATCGGAGACTAATCTTTGTCGGACTCGAATCCTCAAGCCTACCCTCCTCGTCTAGAGTTGGGAAAAGACCCATACACTGTAGGGCTATTTGGCCATCGCCCCATAGCGAGTGCAAAAGTCTGTTCAGAGTCAACATGTTCCATGACTTGTCTGTAGGTCCAGCCAGAAGACCTTGGAGACTCGCTGTATTGCCGAAATACTCAAAAAGCTCTTTCATAGAGTTTCTCACTCGATCTATCTTTTTTCCGGTGCTTTGTAAAGCCCAGCCGAGGATGTGACAGACCTCGACAATCGTGCAATGAGTGAAGATGCATTTTTCGTTGTCTCTCTTTAGACACTGACGCAGTTAGCTTGTATGTACATCCTGTGGTATGAATATGCACTTACATCCTTTTTTTGTTTTTCATTGCGCCATTTGACGCTGGCATCCTCCCGAGACGGTGCTGCTATGTTCGCAGTTGCTGGCAAATTCCTAGCATGTGCCTTGACGGACAACAGTCCTCCTGAAGTCAGGCCAGAAGAGGCAACCTTCTTATCCTTTGGGCCGGAATGGATGCTATTATCGACGGAACTGGCTTTGCGCTTATTCTTCCCTTCGGTTTGGGGTGTAGATGGCTCGCCTTCTTCTTCGAGGACTCTCGTAGGTTCCAGCTCCTTGCTCGAAACCCCCTCGCGCGACTTTTTATCTTCTTTCTCATCAGGATCTTTTATGAGCTTACAGGTTCGGTCTATTATGACATTAGAAAGTAAGTATTTGTTTGTACCAGAGAGATAAAAAGGGGCAGGGGAAAAGGAAACGTGGCTAAATGCTGCTGTAAAAGAATACAAAGTACAGCAGCTAGAAAAGAGGTGCTAGAAAAGAGGTCATCTTACAAAGAGTGACTGTTGGAAGGAGGTTTCTGAATGCTGTTTCCACATCTCCAAGCCTATCTTGAATATCACAGTGTACCTCCCGGAGTTTCGCGAGAGGGATGAGGAGGCAGAAGGAGGCAGCGATTCTCGTCATTTCGGCATCGCCAACGTTGACTTGGTTGTTATCGAGTTGTCTCTGGATATTCTTCATGAGCTCCAAACGTTCTTCAAGCTCCTCATCAGCCATAGGAACATGGACATTTCGCTTGTATCGAGAGATCAGGAACTGTTTTAAATCGTCCCGGGGGCAGGAGGGATCCGCCAGGTAGTCTGCGAGCAGCCCATACATTTGTTCATCATTCGCCGAGGTAGACATTTTGATATGAAGGTTCAAGGCTTTAGACAAAACGAAGAGGCAAAAAATAGAGTTGGAGGAGGGGGGGGGCGTAAAGAAACCGACCGTGTCGTAAGACAACGGTGGCGAGAACGGGCGTAAAGAAACCGACCGTGTCGTAAGATAACGGTGGCAGTCCTGACGAGCTTAAAAAAACGAGTCTCTGGATGTGATAGAGATAGGATATTGTTGGGGCAGAGCGTGGTTGGTGGAGGAGGAAACTTTTATACAAAAGTGCTGCAAACGCACGCGACTTATTAGTCGACGGGGCCGAAGGCACGTGGCCTGAAGGCATGCTGCTTTGGACAAACGGAGCTTAGATGAATTACCGTTTGTACTGAAAAGCATAAATATATCAACGCTGCCTGTTCTGCAGATATCACCTGGGCGCCGCCAAAAGGGTTTTCTTTCGTTACTTTTGTAGCTAAAAAAAAGGCAAATGAAATTTGAACTCTTGCATCCTACATCTCATTCGATTCCCTATTCGTAACCGCGTGCGCAATCATTCTCATCTACCCAGCTTTTCAGGTGCGCCGACTGCCATCTTCGGAAGATGGCGGCGACTACCTCTTGCAAAACGCTCGCTGACACCACGAGACGAAGGCTCAGAACGACCCGAAGTTTTATAGATCCTCGTAAGTCTCGATGCCCGAATGTTCGGTCTCATTTGAGCCGTCTCCAATGTCCCAAGCCTGCTGACGCCAAAGGTCCTGTGCCCAGCCCGACTGAATAGAGCCGCCCGGTAGCGACTGCAACACTGCGTTCCTCCGTCGTGAGCCGCCTCCTACGCCGAGTTTTTACATGCAACCACCGAAGCCATGATCTACCCCATCGAAAGTCGCCGACTCCTGTACTAGTGACCTCGAGACCGCTAAAGAAGTGGCTGGAATTCACGATGCCGCTCTATCCTACCGACCAAGACGAGGACAACGCCGACAATATACATAGCAAGAGAAAGCTCTGCTTCATGGTCTTTGGGAGCCTGGTTCCTGTGCATTAGGACCTTGGCTGCACGATTTTAGTGTTGGACATGGGCATGTAAATTCCGTCAGTGTTGCAGAAGATTTTGAACTTGTCACGGAAATGGCCGTGTAAATTCCGCAAATAACTATTAGAAAAGATTATAATGGACATTTCGAGGGCCATGGGACGAATTGTGACTGGTAGCCCTCGGCAATGTACCCTGCAGGTGGCGCTGATGGCTGTTGCACAGTCGGACCCAAAAGCCACCACCATGTTCACCGTTCGGTTACTTGCCATCAACAATGACCATCCAGACAATGGGCTTCACCATTTCTCCATGGAATACTACTGCAAGACGTGGCGGAGAAGCATGCTAACGTTGACAACGCCGCCCCCGGCCCCACCTTGAAAGTAGCCTCGGCTCTGGGGAATCGATTCCGTGGGGAAAGGTTGGGGGTAACAGTAACTAACTAAAATGAAGAAATCCTTTGCGAGATAGCCTTTTTCTCGTCCGGTCTCGATTGTCCTTGTTCCGCTGTACCCGAATTGCTGTATATATCAATTATCACCTCGCGCCCTGTCCTGTGTGGCCATTCATCGCGTCCACCGATTTCCGCGTCTCGACCAATTCCCCGGTCCCTGATTCAACAGCATCTACAAAGTCAATCCGTGACAAACCCCCATCACCATGTCAGACAAGATCATTAGCTTAGAATACCGTGGCCGCGTCGCCGTCATCACAATTGACAACCAGAGCAAGCTCAATGCCCTCTCGCAAAAGCAGTACTTTGAGATTGCGCAGTCGCTGCGTGACATTGAGAAGCATGACGAAGTCTTTGTGACCGTCGTCCTGGCCAAGGGCCGCTTCTTCTCCGCGTAAGACCCCCCCCCCCCCCTCCTTCCCAATCTCTCTCCGTAACTCAACTACCCGACAACCTCCCCCCGCTGACTTGATTCTCTCTTCTCCAGCGGCGCCGATGTGAGCATCAGCCGGGCCACGCCGACGGACCCCGAGGAGTCGTACGCGTACTGGCTGCAAAACTTCTCCGCCTTCAACCTCAACACGACGCTCGCGCTCGCCGAGCACCCCAAGGTGCTCGTCTTTGGCCTCAACGGACCGGCCGTCGGGCTGTCGGCCGCGCTCGTCGGCCACGCCGACTTTGTCTACTGCACGCCCAAGACGTTCCTCCTGACGCCGTTTTCCTCGCTCGGCCTCGTCGCCGAGGGCGGCGCCTCGCGCGCGCTCGCCCTCCGCCTGGGCCCCGCGCGCGCCGCCGAGGCGCTCATCGCCAGCCGCCGCATCACCGCCGACGCGCTCGAGCGCTGCGGCTTCGTCAACGCCGTCTTTGACGAGCCCGACTGGCAGAGCTTCCACGCCCGCGTCCTCAAGGAGGTCGACGACACCATGGGCGACCACCTCAGCGGGGACAGCATGATAGGCATCAAGAGCCTGCTCAAGGCGCCCGAGCGCGCCATCTTGGAGTCGCAAAACTCCAAAGAGGTCATGGCTGGCCTGCAGCGCTTCGTCAAGGGCATCCCGCAGGAGGAGTTTCGCAAGCTTGCCTCGGGAGAGAAGCGACATAAGCTGTAGAGGAAGCTGGGTACGTGCTATATACATCAGCATACTGTTAATTATCACTCCGTACCTTCAACAACATTTCTCGTCTATTGTGGGATCATTATGTAGTTTCTATGCCAACAAGCCAAACAGCAGGCTAATGCGCTGCCAGAATTCACCAGACTGCTTGACGATGCGCTTGCGTGCAGACTCATCGCTGATACCCGTGTGCTTATATACCTGCTCTGCCGCGTGCGCGAGGTCCTCTCTAGCGATCTTGTCGCTTCCCACGCAATTTTGTAACACGGAAATGTCAAACAGCCACTGCGTGCACACATCTTTGACGAGTTCTGGGCTAATTGATGTAGAATCACTGCACGTCGCCTCAGAATCGTCGCTTCCCTCATCGCCATCTGCATTTTCTTCGGCGTTTTCCTCATGTTTGACTTCCTTCAGCTCGTTCGCGGAAACCTTCCCCTTCCTCGTCTTCCCTTTCAAAGATTTCTTGTTAGCCTTGCCACCTGTAGAGCCACTAGCCGTCAGAGCTTCTAGCTCATTCGCCCACGCAGCGCGCAGCCCATTCCCGAGTCTCTGTTTCAACGCTCTCATAGCACCCGGAGTCCACAGATCGACGCCGAGTTCCGACATGGTAGTTGACAGGTCATGCAGAAAACTAAACAGCTCTGGAGAGGGCTGATTGGGCATGGGAGGGTCACCCTCCCACAATGGCTTGCCAGTGACCACCCGGAGGGAGAGCCCCGACTGAGTAAAACCCTTGATAGCTGCATCCGCAACCTCTTCGGCGACTTTGGCATGCAAAGCAGGTACCATTTCGAGCCCAAACTTCTGCACCGCAGGGCGGTTGGGCAGCTTGCTGCGGATGTCGCGAAGTATACGCAATAAATATGTTGCGACGCCCCCGCTGTGCTTTCCGTACTTCTCTTTCTCCCACAGTTCCGTGAGGTGAGCTTCCAGCTCTTTGTAAGTCTTGTCCAACGCAGAGTCAAGCTTATCCTGCAGCTGCTTGGGGTCCTCTTTGCCAAGCATCTGCTGTCTTGTTTCAATAGTCTCTTCATCTTCCACCTCGTCATAGTCATTATCCCAACACTGCTTCTTGAGCGCGTCGACGACGTCTTTGATATCATCAACAACCCTGTACCACGACATGTAGCTGTGGACAGCTTTGGATACGGCATTGTTCCTTCCGTATAAGCGGGAGACAACTTCTTGCAGGAACGGCGCTGCACCAATAGCTAGCGCATCATCGTAGCCGACCTGATCCCAAAGATCCTCTTGCTTGTCAGTGATACCAATTTGCCAGCCTTCAAGCGTAGCCGTGACTTCGGAGCCGACCAGTCGAAGTTTTGATACCTTGTTCTCCAAGACGGCAAGCATGCGGCCATTGATAACTTGGCGTAAATCGTCTTGCATTTCTTGCGGATCCAAGCCCTTGGCCTTGCCGCCGTCTCGTATCCAAAGCTGAAGCACCTCGGTGCGGAGCTCCATGATATGTTTATAGTCTGTCATTTCCTCCAATGTCTGCTTCAGGCCGTTTATCAAACATTGAGATCCGTCTTCTGCCCAGCTGGATAGCATATCGCGTGCCTGCTTGCCGTCAAGGTCATCATGCCGGATGAACGGCGTAAAGTACTGGAATTCTTCGGTGCACCATGTTCCATATACGTCTAACCTTAGGGTTTCAATGCGCTGCAACGTCTCATCCTCGAACAGCGGATGTTTCTTGAGATTCGACAGCGCCTCGGGAAGCTTTGTTGGCAGTAACGCTTGAACGTCTAGTAATGTTCGGGTATATACACGCAGGGCATGTATAACGTTCTCAAGTGTCCGCGATCGCTCGCCATCTTCGATGTCAAATGCTCTAGTCATAGCATTCTTCCGCGTTTCGAGGAAGAACCGCAAGGCATCCCTTGCACCGGAGCTTGATATGAGGCTTGGAACACAGAGCGCTTTCAGAATCTCGGGTCGTTGTGAGTCGTCCCCAGGCTTCTCGAGAAGGGTTTCCACACGCCTTCGCAGACGTCTCCGGAGAGTATCCAGAGTCTTTTTGAGAGCCTCGGCGGAGGCTTGACTGTCCGGGGCGGCAGTGGTATCGCTGAAACTCTTGACAACAAGCCTACTCAGCGCAAGGATCTTTGCTGTAGCGACTAGTCGATCACCTCTTGTTGTGGCGTCATTGAGTCCACTGCCGCCCTTGAGGATGCGTTCCGACACCAGCGCGCACATCTCCAGAAGTCGCAACCTTGTTACAGCTGACGAAGAGGAGTTCTCCTGCCTCACTGTAAACTTGCTCAGGTTGGAAGCTTTCGATGTAACAACTGTCCGCCCACAGCGGCTGCCCATGGTGCCCAAAACATGCTGCACCTTGTCATTGTCGCGTCGCATGCGGACAATGGCATCAGCGGTGCCGAGGAGTTCCCGATATGACCCGCCCACTTGTGTGCGCAGTCGGCTAGACTTTTCTTCAATCTGAACATGGAGAGCTTTGTGAAGGGATCGGATTTGGGGGAGTGTCAGCGTCGAGGAGAAGATCTCCTCTGAGCTCTCGTAGGTCGAGGGGTCGCGGGATGCCATTGCGGAGACTATCGATCGGGAGTCAGGGCTAACGATGTGTGATGGGTTATATAATCGGGTTTATCATGAATTCGTCATCATAATTGAACGGCTACGCTACGACGGCTGCTGTTGCTTGCGATGCTGTCTGCGTTGCGGGATCAAGAGTTGACGTGGAGCTTATTGCCTCCATCAGCTCTTTGGTGGGGCACGGAGTTGTTGGGTGTGTAAAGCAGCCACATGACAGTTACGTATTTACTGGTTAAGCATTTTCATTTAATTTTCGTGATGAAATAGTTTACTTGCACTTGAATAGATGATCCATTTGATCATTATTCGGAAGCGAGTTTCAATAATTATGGTGAACGACGATCTCGGCGGTTCGATTCTTTAGGTGTAACTAGCACAGCTCCTTCGGAAGCGAGTTTTAACCTGAAAGAGCAGACCAAAGAGCAGACTAACGTTACGACATCACACCTAGTGATGTATACCTACATACGCGAGTGAGGCCTGTTTTTAGATAGGGTACTACACAGGTCTCTTTTTTAAAGGGGTTTTTTTCCCCTGTCACAACGCTGTCAGGCTGCTACTACGTGTTAAAGATCTTATATGTTTTTTTAGAAGCCGTGTTAGACGCCTGACAGCATTGTGACAGGGGAAAATTACATGTTGAGTAGAAAACGTGTCTAGCGCCCTGTCAGAAAACAGGCCTCACGCGCGTAGGTACCTAGCGATATCATACCAAGGCCAAAATTTCTGACGGGTCATACGCCAGCTATGGGATATGACAAGCAAGGCGGTAGGAAGACTAGTTAAATACTGATAGACCACGATACTCAATGACCCCTTCGCCCAGGAAGTAGCGGTAAGATTCCTTTGCCGACGGTATCCGTGCTCGGTGTGAACCAATCATGAATATAGGAGTCCGTTCAGTGCCGAAGGGGATATGCATGTCTCATCACCTGCGGCCTCAACACCATGGCGCATACGTCACACATAGATCCATATCAGGCAACAGTAATAGAAAAAAACGTGGGCGTGCAAAGGATCCAAGGCTGAAGGTGGAAGGGAAGCAAGGGACGAAGACCTGTTTAGAGTTAGTAGCAAGTCGCTCTACCAGTAAGGCTTAGTGAACGGCGGTTTGGGATGTGGGGTGTTCAACATGTGATGATGTTTAACAACAGGGGCCTCTACTATCATGGCGCGAATATACGACATAATAAACAATGAAAAGCTGGCGAACACGGCTCCAGTACTCCGTAGCCCCAGATGAACTTGTTGAGCAAGTCGTCAAGGCGTACATAGGGGCCATGGTCTCCTGGAAATCTCTGGCACTCTCTAATTTGTAATCTGCTGAGGTTGCAGCCTTGCAGGCAGCAGAATTACTGCCTGTTGCTTGCCTATTGCTAATGACAGCCTACAGGGCGATCCTTGACGCCTCCGCCTGTTCGCCCGAGATTGACGATCCACACGCACGGGGATTTATCAACTAACAAGCTGAGATCAGGCCAAGCTAACGATACCTACCTAGCCAGCTAGTGGAGAGTTTCCCTGCCAGCCGGAAGCTTCCGACCTCTTCTCTTGCTCTGGCCACCGCGATGCATAGCTGCCTGACAGAAGAGAAAGGGGGGTGGAACCACGGAGAGGGGTGATCTGAGCTACCAAGGCCGGAGTCTGGTCGGTGTCAATATTGGTGGGCGGCCAGCATCAGCCAGTTGAGAAATGCCTCTGCCTAGGCAAAAAAACAAAAAAGAGCCCAATATTGTCAATGTCCTTTTGGCCGCCGACGCGAGATAAAAAGTCAGCTGACTCCAGCAAAGCAGAAAAACAATATCCGCAGTGCCAAAGTTACACATCCGACCTCGTGTAATAACTCCACACCAGGCCCCTTTCAATCCGTTTTGTCACCTCGCCAATCATTTCGAATCCAAAACAATTGAATTTGATTGCAAAACACTCTTGTCGTCAAGATGCGCGAGATTGTGAGTTTGATTCTTGCCCATGGCCAGCTGACCGTGGTGGCCGACGCTGCTGACAATCGCCCTCTCATTTTTTACAGATTCACCTGCAGACCGGCCAGTGCGTGAGTACCATTCAACATCGATACGCACCAGCAGTCTATACATCTAACAGCGCGCTTGTAATAGGGCAACCAAGTCGGTAGTGCCTTTTGGCAGACCATCTCTGCCGAGCATGGCCTCGACAGCAGCGGTGCCTATCACGGCTCGTCTGACCTCCAGCTCGAACGCATGGATGTCTACTTTAACGAGGTACGCGCGCGCACGCACGAGTGCACCCTTCTACTCACCCCCGCTAACCCCTTTGCCCACGACAGGCTTCCGATCGCTATGTGCCGCGCGCGGTGCTCATCGATCTTGAGCCCGGCACCATGGACGCCGTGCGCGCCGGGCCCCTTGGCCAGCTCTTCCGCCCTGACAATTTCGTCTTTGGCCAGTCTGGCGCCGGCAACAACTGGGCCAAGGGCCACTATACGGAAGGCGCCGAGCTGGTTGACGAGGTCCTCGACTGTGTCCGCCGCGAGGCTGAGGGCTGCGAGTGCCTCCAGGGCTTCCAAATCACGCACTCGCTCGGCGGTGGCACGGGATCGGGCATGGGCACCCTCCTGATTGCCAAGATTCGCGAGGAATTCCCGGATCGCATGATGGCGACGTATTCAGTCGTGCCGTCGCCTGGAAACTCGGATACCGTCGTCGAACCGTACAACGCGACGCTCTCCATTCACCAGCTTGTGGAAAATTCCGACGCGACGTTTTGCATCGACAACCAGGCCCTCTATGACATTTGCTCGCGCACGCTCAAGCTTTCTGAGCCATCCTACGGAGACCTTAACCATCTGGTGTCGGTTGTCATGTCGGGCATCACAACGTGCCTCCGCTTCCCTGGCCAACTCAACTCGGACCTGCGCAAGATGGCAGTCAACTTGGTCCCCTTTCCTCGCCTCCATTTCTTTACCGTTGGCTTTGCTCCCTTGACTGGCCGGGGTTCCCATTCGTTCCGGGCTGTTTCCGTGCCTGAACTTACGCAGCAAATGTTTGATCCCAAGAATATGATGGCGGCGTCCGACTTTCGCAACGGTCGCTTCCTGACTTGCTGCGCCATCTTGTATGTTTTTTACTTTTTACCCGGTGCCAACTGACGTATCTTATTAACAAATCACTAGCCGCGGCAAAGTAGCGATGAAGGAAGTAGAAGACCAGATGCGCAAGGTCCAAACCAAGAACTCTACGTACTTTGTTGATTGGATTTCCAACAATATCCAGACTGCGCTCTGCACTGTACCCCCGAAAGGCCTCAAAATGGCTTCCACCTTTATTGGCAACTCGACCTCTATTCAAGACATTTTCAAGCGCGTCGACGTCCAATTCTCCGCCATGTTTCGCCGCAAGGCCTTCTTGCACTGGTACACGGGCGAGGGCATGGATGAGATGGAATTTACCGAGGCCGAATCTAATATGAAGGACCTCATCTCTGAATATCAGCAGTATCAAGATGCAACTGCTGATGACGATGACGAGGAGTTTGAGGAAGAGCTTCCGGTGGAGGAATAGTTGCACCAGCCATTCAGGCTGTAGCTATGTTTGATATATCCATTTAGTTTGTAGTATGCGATGAACGGTACTTTGTCTGCCATTTCTTGTGTTCTTTAGTACAAGGAGATAGTTATCAAAAAGCTGGAGAATGTAATTCATTCCCTTTTCATTGGAAAAATAAAGATTTTGTATATTCTGGGCGTATAGGTGTATTACCCTGGCATTGTTGTTCTTGAATAACTTCGTGATGTTGGCTCGCTTTACGTCGAGGTTCATCTTGTCCCCATGTGCGGCGTGGGATCCAAACCTCGAGACTGGGCGACAGTGACAGCTTTATAACGATGTCTGCATAACGGATGTATATATAGGAAACAAATCTGTCAACCAAAGGCGGCAATTTTTCATGAGGTAATGATTTTCTATTCCGGACATGAAAGCTTTTATAATCTTGTACTCTTGACAACACCAATATTGATACCCGACCGTTCTCCTTGGTATCCGCCCTTGGGCTCGCCGCCTTGCCAGACAGGCTTCATACTCTTCAGCTTCTTCTGCTTGGCCTCGTACTGCTTCCTCTTCTTGACTCTCGGGTTGCGCACGTCCTTCTTCCTCCTTGGCGTCAGGCCCTTGTTCTTCTCAATGGCGTAGTTGATCTTGCGCTTGCCATCCTCGCCAATCTGCTCCGTCTCGACCACGCGGTCGGCCTTGCTGGCGGCCGCGTAGGCGGCGTAGCGGGCGGCTTTGTCTTCCTTCTTTTCCTTGGCCTTCTGGGCAACCATGTCGTAGTACTCGTCTTCTTCGCCGCGGACCGCCTTCGCCGTGGCATCCTGGTCGTCGTCGCTGTCATCGTCCAGGTCGGCGCCGTGTTTGGAGTCTCGCTCACCACGCTTCTTGGCTGTGGCGAGCAGTCTCGCTTGACGATCACGGAAACGCTCGCGGTGAGGAATATCTTCGTCACCACCAGCGTCACGGCCAGCACCAGCTCTGCGGTTCGCCTTCTGGGCAATTTGAGATGTGTAGAACTTGAGAGTCTTCTTGCGAGCAGCCTTGTCGGCGGCAGTGCGGGCATCAAGGGCATCCTCTTCGCCAAAGTCGGAATTGTCATCCGTTGCGGGACCAACTGTCCTCGATGGTTTATTCAGCTTGCCACTGGACAGCGGCAGGTTGTATAGATCAGCAACGGATGCTTCGATCTCCTTGGCTTTGGCCAACTTGGCCTTCTTCTTGGCTGCATCAGCCTTGTCCTTGGCTGACTTCTTCTTACTGCGCTTCTCGATGGCAATATCCTCGGCAGCGGCGGTATCATCGATGCTGTCATCGTCATTTTCGGCAACGACTTGTACAGACTGCAGGTTCTGAACCTTGGTCCACGCACTGCGACATTGTACAAGTGTTTCCATGACTTCGTGATCGCGCAGTTCAGATGGGTCGGCTGGTTTCTGGACTTTTCCGGTGTCTCGAGCCGGTGCTGCAAGAATAGCAAAGTAGCTTGCCAGGGCAGCGACGTAACATCCAAGAACCCAGTATTTGACAGACTCGAGCGATTGGGGTGATGTTGTCTTGGCAGCAGCCTTGAGCGTGACCAGCGTTGGCTGTAGGGCTTCGAATTCGGTGACAAGGTATTCAAACTCTGGGTATCTTGAAACAAGTAGCTGGTATCGGTCTTTGGGCGTCATATCGTCAGTTACTTCGATTTCCTTGAGAACTTCAGTGACAGTGTCTTCGTCATCCTCTGCATCGCCATCAGCCGCTAGCCATTCATCGCCGTCGAAGACAAAGTCTTCTTCCTGCATCTTGGCTAGCTTCTTCTTCTGAATGCGCTTTGCTTCGACCTCTTCTTCTTGGGCATCGGCCTCCGTCTCAATTCGGTCGGCATCGTAGTATTCTTTTCTGGATGAGCCCCACCATCCTGCATCTCCATCACCCCCTTCCTCATCATCGTCTTCGTCGTCGGCAGCCTTCTTCGCGGAGGCTGAGGAAGCCTTCTTCCCAGACACGGGGGCAGCATCGTCTGATTCGGCCTCGGACTCAGTATCTTGGTAGCCGAGAATTTCTTCGTCGGAAAGCTCCATGTCGTCATCTTGGCGGCGACGCTTACTGCCAGGCTCATCGTCGAGCATTATAGTGTCTTGGTTGAGAAAGTGTTCGTCTTCTGAATTGGCGACATCTTCATATGTGCTAATGGGGCCGAGGCGGGAATCCTTGGGATCAAAATCCCGCGGTCCTTTGGGGTCGGTATTACGGCCGGAGGCCTTTCTCTTTTTGCCCATTTTAAACCTGTGGTAGTTGTACGGCGAGGGGGTCAAGAAAAGTCACAAAGACGATGTTGGACTTGTCTGGCGACAGGAAATTTTTGGTTGCTGATAAGATAAGACGACGAATGTGGGGCCCCGGTATACCTACCTATGTAGGTACCTAGGTAGCCAAAGGGCTGCTCCTGCATCCCGCCGCAACGAAAATAGCAAGGTATATTCGAGAAAAAAAAATGTTCTAATCATCTGAAGATTGCGCGAGAGCAAATCATCTGCATCGTCTTGAGAGCATGGGATAGCACGACGCCTTGGCTATGGACGGGTGACTGGTTAGTGGTGCAGGTGATACTCGAGAGACTGGTCAAGCTGCAAGGCGCAGCTTGGCAGGCTTGGTGACTCTCCCCGCCAAAGAGATGGATGGTAATTTATTTGTAGTGTGGCTGTCACTGTGGCAGCATCAGGCTTGCAAGCCTCCCTCGAGACGGTCCCAGGGGTCACTGGCGTCGCTGAGGTCGGGAAGGGCTTGGAATTTAGTGCTGGTGAGGGAAGCCACACAAAATACCCAAATAAACATGGCGCCATCTCCCAGCGCTGTGTCATGCTGAATCTCGCCTGTATCGTCGCACGACCCGTACCTTTCAACGGCGATACTGTGGCTGAAAGCTTGCTTGTCAGGTACCTCTGCCAGCGGTTGTGTCACTGAGTCAGCCTCGAGGCCGTTTCGTTTTGGTTCAAAACGGCATTCTTCGAGAATCCCGTGTAACGTGGCTCATCTTTTGTTTCATACCTATGCAGACTACAACATCGAGAAGTCTTGCAATCTCGCTTCTCCAGCCCAATCCTGGTCCTGCTGCAGTCGTCTGCTGTGGCCCTGTGGGCCACTTCAAAGGGACCAGTGTGGAGAGACTCGAGACACATTTCGAGTCCACGTGAACCTCATCTACATCCATACGCGGGATACGGGCCACACCTCCCCTCTCAAGGTCTGGTGCATCTGCAAAGCACGGGAAGCTTTGACGCGACCCAATCTTTGCAGGTCTTTCCTCCTCCCTCCCTATCCTCCTGCCTACATACTATGCTACACATGATATTCATACCGCCCCATCCAACGTCCTGATGCGCTGGTACTTATTGCCCCAACCACCTGCACGCCCTGTTCGCCATTGCAACAACGCGACCAAAGTGGCTCCAGGACTCCCGACGGGGTCCGAGTTGTGAATTCCTGTCCCCCTCTCCATTTATTCAGGCTATTGCTACCGATACGACGACCTTCAGCTGCATTCGGAAGCTACGCAACTCCAAAGAGTATGGATTCCCAGCAGAGCGACGACTATGGCACCCAGCAGCAGCCTGACTCGCCACGAGCCTCTCGTCGGCCTCACCACCGACGGTATCACTCGACTGCCGAACCTAGCGAAACATCTCCCCTCCTCACTACATCTAGATCCCGCATCCGTATAGACAATGGCGGTCGCTCCCCTAGACCGGTTGCTCGCCTGTCTCGCCACCAGAGCCACACGGGTTCGTCATCTTGGACCCAAATAACCAACTGTGACCTGCTAACACAAATTTACTACGGACAGGAAGTCTTCGCGGTACGAGACACCATAGTCGACAAGCATCGTGGGGCCAGCGCCTGATTTCTGCTATTGGGGAGGGCAGAAGCAGCCTGTCGGAATCGAAAAGCTCCATCTTCCCTGAGGAGCGTGTCTGGTACGACCAATTTACCAGCACCGACTGGGTCCACGATACCATCGCCGATTCACACCGAGTCAAAGCTCTTCGCGCCCGAAAAGATTTGCGTGGCCGCATTTTAAATGCTCTCGATGGCGCGCAGGGATGGTTTCTCAGCGCTTTGTGCGGCGTCATCATTGCATTGATTGCATACGCTGTTGACGTTACAGAGTCTACAGTCTTTGATTTCAAAGACGGGTTTTGTGCCAGAGCTTGGTATCTAGATGAAAAGGTAAAGCTCTTCTTCCTGGTCTAACATGTACTCGAGCGATGCTAATACCGTCACAGAAATGCTGCCCTAGAGGACCTTGTGAAGACTGGAAAAGCTGGTCGCAAGCGTTCAAAATCCAATCGCTTGCAGCCCACTGGACCGACTATCTCGTCTACCTATTCCTTGTCATAACTCTGGCTATGTTGTCATGCTGGATCGCCCTATGGACTAAAACGGTCGTCGCCTCATCTTATCAGCTCACTACTTTGGACGAAAACTTGGCAGCAGAGCAGCTGCCACAACCAGCAACTGGGATCAACCCCGACGACAGCTCTAGTCCAGCTCCCGAGGATGATGTACCGGACCCGAACCCCCCGATGATATACTACGCCGCGGCAGGAAGTGGCGTTGCCGAAGTCCGAGTCATTTTGAGCGGATTTGTCTTGCACGGCTTCCTTGGATTGAAGACGCTCATTATCAAGATGGTTGCGTTGGTATTCTCGGTCGCTTCCGGGCTTAGCCTAGGTAAAGAAGGCCCTTATGTTCACATGGCTGCTTGTGTTGGAAATATTGCTTGCCGTCTCTTTTCAAAGTATGACCGCAATGATGCCAAAAGACGAGAAGTTCTTTCTGCGGCTGCCGCAGCTGGTGTTGCTGTTGCTTTTGGTGCTCCTCTCGGTGGAGTTTTGTTTGGTTTAGAAGAAGTCTCATACTTCTTCCCCGCAAAGACACTCTTCAGAACCTTCTTCTGCTGCATCGTTGCTGCCCTATCCCTCAAATTCCTCAACCCATACGGAACGCACAAGATTGTCATGTTTCAGGTTCGATACCTGGTTGATTGGCAATTCTTTGAGTTGGGGAGTTTTATTCTGGTGGGTATTCTTGGCGGCGCACTTGGTGCGATGTTCATCAAAGCGTCCAAGTATTGGGCGCACACATTTCGCCGTCTCGAGGTGATCAAAAAGTATCCCATGTTTGAGGTGTTCCTTGTCGCACTGATGACGGGACTATTGAGTTATTGGAATGCATTGACTAAACTGCCTGTGGCAAAGCTGCTCCTCAATCTCGCATCTCCCTGTGACGACTCGACTGATGCGAACCGAGATGAGCTAGGCTTGTGCCCCGACTCCATTGATGACATTCCAGGCATTCTCAAGATGCTTGTGGTTGCCTTCTTGATCAAGGGATTTCTGACAGTGATTACGTTTGGTATCAAGGTACCCGCTGGTATCTACATTCCCTCTATGGTTGTTGGTGGTCTGATGGGCCGCATGGTTGGTCACTTGATTCAGTGGCTCGTCTTGGCGGCACCAAGCTGGGCCCTATGGGGAAACTGCGCAACAGCAGCCGACGGCACCTGCGTCCAACCTGGTGTCTATGGGTTGATTGCGGCTGGCGCGACAATGTGTGGCGTCACGCGTCTGTCGGTGACGCTGGCCGTCATTTTGTTTGAATTGACGGGCAGCCTGGACTATGTCCTACCATTCTCACTGACCATCTTGGTGGCCAAATGGACGGCAGACGCTATTGAGCCAAACAGCATATATGTAAGCGGAGGCTCTGTTTGCTCCTTCTCGGACATGGAACAGCCTGCTAATCGTGTACAGGACCTTTTGACTTCTATGAACGCATACCCTTTCCTAGACAACAAGCACAAGCCCATTTTCACCGGCGACTTGGCTGATATCATTACACGCTTTCGGCGGGAGCGAATTATCGACATTACCAACTCGCCGCTTGTAGCAGCGACCAAGCTTAGGTTGAAGCTAGAAATTCTGCATCGGGCTGGAGAACTTGATGGAGGTCTGCCAATTCTACGCCATGACATTTTAGTTGGTTTGATTCCAGCGCCAGATTTGGAGTTTGCACTCGATCAACTTGAGGATGAGACGACCAGCCTTTGTCTGATGGACCGAGTACCGAGCATTGATGAGGATGAGGGCGATATGGTGGACCCTACCGACTTCACGCCGTATATTGACCCCGTATGTGACTAGATTCTACCTTGGTTTTTTGAACTTATACTAATAGTTGACCAGGCCCCGGTGGCGCTTGACTTGCGCTCTCCGACAGATCTCGTTTACGAATGTTTTGTGAAGCTTGGTCTGCGCTACATTTGTGCGACTAAGGACGGCCGATACGCTGGTATGATTCACAAGAAGACATTTGTGAGACACATGCGTGAAAAGGAAGAGGAGCAGAGCTAGCATACTGTCAGAATAAGAGTTGACATGTCGGAGGAGTAGGCCTGCTGGAGCTACCACAATTGTTGCATTTTCACGGGTGTGTATTATTGCGAGTATTGATTTTCAGCATCGCATTACGTTGTCGAGGTATGCACTTTGAGATTGAATTGGATCGTATTTCATTGGTGCAGAAGCGTCTGAGCTATTGCCTTGGTGATGTTTATTGAGTGAGGCAGCAACGTTCAGGGCCAGATGTTGTCCAAGGGATATTACCGGGCAGAATTGTCAGTTATTACGTAGCATGTTGAATCGGCCATGGTCTCTAGGGTCCCCTGCTGGAAAGTCATCTGATGGAATATGAGCATGGGTGAGGTGGAATTTCTGCCGACATCGGGCTGCGATGCAGGCCTGTCCTGAGTTTGTGAGCGAGCCCAACTGCCCATATGGTGGATGATGGCTGCGATGCTTGGATGATGGTTGGTTTTTTGTCAATACTAGTCAATACAAGTCAAAGAGATTGAAATGTAGAAAAGCATCAACCTTGTCAGTAGGTAGTCTTGTGACAGACGAGCGCATCTGGTTCAGGAATGAAGAGCCCGTACCCACAGGACCAGGGGCGACGCCGCGACAGGGGCCCGCGGCTTGCGCTAAGATGGAGCAGCCGGAGTAGAGCAGTGACTCCGGCGTAGCAGGTTGTAATTGGTGATACTGCGAGGACGAGGAACTACACTTCGAGGAAAGAGAGAGAGAAAAACTCTGGCCGATGTCAAGATGACTGAATTTCTGTGGATATGAGTCTGATATTATTTACTGATCTACACCTGTCGAGGCAGAGCGAACAGAGGTCAACAAGACGCGACTTAGCGGCGTTGGGTCGGCGTAGACGTGGGCGGCCTCGGTGGCCGTGGACCGCGAGATGGATCGTCCACAGGCCTGTCGGGTCCACTAGAAAGCTTCGCGCGGGGTTACTTCTCCAACAAACCCCACCAAAAGCCTGCCCCGGCATCCACTCAGCCTGTTCGGTGCGCCGCCCTCCGGCAGCGAGCCGACATGTAGGTTTCCCTTGAGAATTCCATAATCAAGGACGGACACTGAGCGCCCTATCTAAGCCAAATGACAAGCCCACCGTCATAGTGAGTGGCTGTTGATAACTGTCTTGGTTCCAGAACTTCCCCACACAGAGCTCAACCACACGAGCCGTTGGAATCCGTTTCCGAGCGTGCCTGCCCTGGGGAAGCTTTATTAAAGAACGTGTCACCCACCCCAACCCCTCCGTCTCCGCCGTGTGTTCCTCCAGATCTTCGTCGTATATCTCTTGCAACAGCAACCTTTTTTCCCCCTTCGCATCTCCATCCCTTCTTCCAGCACCCATTTGACGAAGAAACAGCCCGCGACTTTTCGTTGGTGACTGACCGGAAAACGATTGCGAGCCCTTGGTGCTCTTGTCTGAACTCTGCCAACGTAAGCTCTATGCCGCCGCCGACCTCCCGTTTTTATCGCCACCTGCCAGACTGGCAACGATCTGAACCACTCACAGCCTCAGCGCCTACTGATACGATTCGATGTATTGCTAACCCAACTTGCTTTTGCTACATCAGGGTTAAACTACTTGAATAAAAAGATACCCCATTTTTTTATCATGGCCGCCGCCATCAGATCCGCGGTTGGTCGTGGCTCTATCGCTGCCGCCGCAGCCATCCCAGCCTCAGTGCGCTACGCTTCGACGAAGAGCTTCTTCCCTAATGAGCCCGAGGCTCCCGTCGTCAAGACAGCCGTTCCTGGCCCAAACGGCAAAAAGGCCATCGCGGAGCTCGACCAGGTGTTTGATACGCGCAGCGTCAACTTTTTGTCCGACTACAGCAAGAGCATTGGCAACTACATTGCCGATCCTGATGGCAACATGATGCTTGATGTGTATGTTACCCAAATATGATGCTTTGCATTCATTGCACGGGATCCAAGAAGAAGCCATCGCTAATATAATTGATCTCGCAGCTATGCCCAAATTGCCTCCATTCCCGTTGGCTACAACAACGCGCACCTCGCACAGGCCGCCTCCAGCCCGCAGATGGTCAACGCCCTCATTAACCGCCCTGCCCTGGGCAACTTCCCCTCTAGCGACTGGGGTGAGATTCTCAAGACGGGTATCCTCAAGGTCGCCCCCAAGGGCCTCAGCAACGTCTTTACGGCACTGGCCGGCTCTGATGCAAATGAGCTTGCCTACAAAGCCGCCTTTATCTACCGCCGCCAGCTTGAGCGTGGCGGACCGGATGTGGAGTTCAGCGAGGAGGAGATCGCCTCGTCGATGAACAACCAAGCGCCCGGCGCCGCACAGTTGTCAATCTTGTCCTTCAAGTCGGCCTTCCACGGCCGCCTCTTTGGCTCTCTGTCCACCACCCGCTCCAAGCCTATCCATAAGCTCGATATCCCCGCCTTTGACTGGCCTCAGGCGACCTTCCCGCTGCTCAAGTACCCTCTTGAGGAGCACGTTGAGGAGAACCGCAAGGCCGAGCAGGCTTCGCTCGACGAGGTCGAGCACCTCATCCAGAACTGGCACTTGCCACCCGCCGCCGTCATGGTGGAGCCTATCCAGTCGGAAGGCGGCGACAATCACGCGAGCCCCGAGTTTTTCCAGAAGCTGCGAGCCCTGACCCGCAAGTACAACGTTCTCCTCATCGCCGATGAGGTTCAGACCGGTGTCGGCGCCACCGGCAAGTTCTGGGCTCACGAGCACTGGAACCTCGAGGACCCCCCGGACATGGTCACCTTCTCTAAGAAGGCCCAGACAGCCGGCTACTACTACGCTTCCCACGCCCTGCGGCCCAACAAGGCCTACCGTCAGTTCAACACCTGGATGGGCGACCCTGCGCGCGCCATGATTTTCCGCGCCATCATCGAGGAGATTGAACGCCTCGACCTTGTCAACCACACCGCCCGCGTTGGCGACTACCTCTATGGCAAGCTCGAGACGCTCGCCAAGAAGTACCCCGAGCACTTCAAGAACCTCCGCGGCAAGGGCCAAGGCACCTTTATCGCCTTTGACAGCCCCAAGCGCGACCAGTTCCTCGCCAAGGCCAAGGAATTCGGCATCAACATTGGCGGCTCCGGCGCGTCTGCTGTTCGCCTCCGCCCCATGCTGACCCTGCAGGAGCACCACTGCGACATCCTGGTCGAGGGTATGGAGAAGATTGTCAAGGCTCTATAAATACGAACAAGAGACGGCAAGGGTTTATTTCCTACGCGGAAGGGGTATTTTGACAGACTTTGCTCTGTTTGGAGTTATGTTTTATACGGCATTCTGCGAGTACGCCTGCGCTTCGACTTGCTAGGATGAGGGCGCGGAATGTCGATTCTTAAAAAAAAAATGAGCTGCGGTCTTTCTATGAGATTTAATTAATACATGCATGACAACTGCTGCTGCATCTTGTGCCTGAAATGTCTCGCTTTCGAAATCATGCCAACATAGCAGCGTCTTCGAACATGAACCTCGTAAGTATATGACATCTATAGTCAAAAAGCAGTTTATATTGTCCATCTATGTATTAAACGCAATTTTCATAGAAATGCCAGAGGGGGTAAAAAAGCCGCCAAGAGATTTGCTTCGTAGCCTGCGTTGAAAAAAGTCACCCAAATCAAACCATGACGCCGCCCAATGCCCGATCGGTAAAAATAAAACATGCCAAGAACGTCAACGTTGTCGAACCAAAAAAAAAAGACAAAAAAAAACTCCCCGCATCAGCCCCCATCAAGAATAATCAAATTAGTCTTCCTCCCTCGACTTGGGGGTTCCGATAATGTCGCCCACGGGCGGGAGCCGGTCTGGCGTGCTGCCTCTCCGTCTCTTCTTCGTCGACCGGCTAGGCTCCGGTGACTGCCCATGCGCGGGGCGCGCATCCTGCAGCGTCATGGGTGACGGCAGCGGCTGCGATGGATAGTACATGCCATGTTGATAGACATGCTGTGGCTGGTGCGGCTGGTGCTGCGTATGGTGGTCCGCGGGCGGCGGGCGCGGCATCAGGTGCTGCGGAAGCAGCGGCCGCAGTTCACGCTTGGCCCGGTCGGCGCGGGATGGACGGCCGCGCTTCTTTGGCGGCGGCTTGGCCATGTCCGCCGCGCCGGGCACAGGCTTGGCACGCGGACTGCGGCCTGCGGGCACCGCCATGGCGGCCGTGGTCGTCGCCGCGCCGGGCAGGATGCCGTTTGGCATAGGACGCGGTAGTATGGCAGAGGATCCTTGATACGAGGGCGGCTGCGGTGGGTGGATGGATGGTTGCAAGGTCGGTGGCGATCTCATGGCCTGGCTGATGGAGGGGTAGTCGCCGTGACTACTGCTAGAAGAGTTTCGCTCGCGGCTGTGGTAAGGGACGGAAAGCTGCTTCGTTGCGAGCATACATTCGTTCATATTGCGACCTGCATTCGGGGGGTTGTCAGTGTCTAGCTTTGCGCCCATCTTGGTAGTGCCTTACCTCGCGGCAGTTGCATGTTTAGCCAGTCTGGTACGATGCCATGGGCTTTGACAAAGGTTTCCAGCTGATAAACGTCGACGGAGCTCGTTTTGATCATCTCTGCGAGGACAAATCTCTACATTGACATGCGTCAGCACTTGTTCAAGGACAACTCGGCTGGACATGGGCGGCGCGCAAAAATTACCCACAGCGCGACTTACATGCTCTTTGCTGGTGAATGGGTTGTCCATCTCAGAGAGAGGGGCTCTGTCTACTGAACAGAAGACTCTAACAGCGACAGATAGATAACCCAGGAGAAACGACGTGGCTTTGTCGGTAGCGAGGCATCGGGAGCCGGAGAGATGGCGTACAGGGGAAGCGGTTCAGGTGTATTAGGGGCAGATCAAGCGTGCATGAGGCGTAGGGATAAGAATAATGTCGCGGAACCGAAGGAAATAAATAGGGAAAAAAATCTCTATTGCCACAGTGTCGTGCTCATAGGTTGAATATGATGTTGCCAGCTGCTCGAGTCAGATGAGCGTGGCAGCTGGTTGCGACCAGGGAACGCGCAACGCTGACTGGTATACCAACCAGTATTGTCACGACTTGTCCAGCGATGACAACCAGAAACAAACGACTCTGTCAACCGAGCGTGGTGGGAGCAGCATAAAACAACGTCTGGGATTTCCGTGCTCCTGTTTGTTTTTCTTTGCAAAAAAATCGTACGGTAAATCAAACGTCGAGGTTGCGCCGCGTTTGTGGTACGTGAGAGCGCCGGGCGTTGCGTTTGGTTGCTCAACTTGTCCGTCGTTTGCGGTCGAAGGGGGGCGGCTGCCTGGTACCACGATGGCTGGTGGGAGACTATCAGTACCGATAGTCGATAGTTACGACCTGTCGCCGGTTGTCGGTTGGGAGGGGGCCAAGTTTCGTCAACGTATAGTATAGCAGAGAAGAAAAAGCAAAAGAGGAGCGCAGAGGAAGAGAAAAGACGAAGAAGTAGAAGAAGAAGAGCACGGTTTTGCGCTTGGCCGCTTGGAATGGCCGCAGGTCGTCAGTTTTGCGGTCGAACGGGCTTTTCAAGAACGGTTGTGGCTTGGGGAAGCCAAAAATAAAAAAAGACTAGAGTGGCTGTCGACAGCGGCAGCGGTTCGCTACCGACTTGATAAAAGCGGACAGAGAAGAAGCAATATAAGACATGGACTGACGCTACTTTGGCATCAGCATCCAAGACATCGGCAGCAACGGCGAGAAGGGAAAGGAAAAAAAGGAAAAAGAAACGACGGGCGGCAACAACCATCGAGACTAGTTAGTTCGTCGTCTGTCTGTCTGTCCGTGTGGTGTGTGTGAGCGTGTGTGTGGGATCATGGATGGATGGGACGGGGACATTCTGTTGATTGGCACCCTGACGGGACTGAGTGACTGGAGGGAGTGACTGATTCCGACTGACAGAATGCGCCAGACAGAGCTTCGATCCCTTGACCAGATAACTAGTCAGTTCCTGGTAACTACATCAGTACGTACAAGCAGCAGCAGCACCACCACCACCACCACCACCACAGGAGCACATGATGGCGATGACGGCAGCCCACCTTGTCCGTCCCGGTGGTGTGCGTGAGAGAGAGAGAAAGGGTAGTACTCTGTAGAGAGTGTGTGTGTCGCCAGTGCCGCAGGGCGCCAGAGAAAACGGGCCTGCCGCCCCTCCAAAATCTCTCTCTTCTCGCCCAGTCCGAGTCGCCCCTTGTTAGCCAGCGGGCGGCATCGGGCCTTGTTCCGGTGGTTGGTTGGCGAGCCGTCGGCGTTGCAAGGGATGGGGATGGGATGGCTCAGCAGGGGCTCTGTGTGTTTCCCGTCATCCGTCATCGCGTCTTCTGAGTGGTTGACCACCAAGTCCACCAAGAACGCTTCGTTGATGCATCGAGCCGGATCAGCTGAACGGCTAGTCTGTTTTGTGGAGGGTCCTTGATGCCCCAGCACACGTCCAAGAAATCGAGAAGAGAGAGAGAGAGACGAAAATACCCTGTCGAGCTGGGCGACTGACCAAGCGACTTTGTCTCTCCATGGCAGCATTGCAAGCCAAGTTCCCAGTCACTCACTGCGCTACCCGCTGCTGCCTGCAAGGTACACACGATGATGGCCCGTTTAGCGCATTCACTAAGACCAGTCAGTACCCTACCCGTACCTTTTGGTAGACATGGCGACGCACACTCCCCTCCTCTGCCCTCCAGGCTCTAGGCTCTAGGCTCCAACATGGAAGGGACCTTGACAAACAAGCACAAGCAAAAAGCAAAAGCAAAAGCACGCAGCTACCACCACCACCAGCAGACGCCTATTTGGTTGTTGGGCGCACACGCGAGACAGTTTGACAGCCATCTGGCGGCCATGGCGCGTGCCACCTGCTTGTCAGGCGGTGCTGCCGGTTCGCGCGCTCCGGCGCGACATCCTATTAGTTAGGCCGCACAAGCCTGTTCGGTGACACGGGAGGATCTTGACAGACAGATCGACGACCACGGTACTCCCTCCGTACATGGCTGGCGCATCAGAGACCGTCGTAACGGGCTGCCTCCATCAGCTATGCCACTTCCTTTCTCGTAAAAGTGCGGGGGCCCTTCTCTCTCTCTGGGTAAGGATGCATCAGCTTGTGGCTGCGAAGTGCTAGCGGCCCGCCACAGCGCAAGTGGAAGTGGAAGAATGCGAGAGAACTGAGGGTGCTGCGCGTTTGGTGTGCATGCCATGGGATCGAGTCCGCCCGGTTTTGCCACCGTTGGTCAGGCCGCGCTGATGTCGAGTCTGGACGTTGTCTTCTCAGCTGTTGCGCGACTGACTCGGCGGCCGCGCTGGAGCTTGGAATTCTCCCCTCCCGGCGGAGGAAATCTGGGAAAAAGAACAAGGAACAAGTGCATGACTTGACGCTTGCCCGCGCAGAGATGATGTGCCGCACCCCCTCCATGTCAGATCCGTTGACGCTTGGAAGCCTCCACAGTCGCACCGATGAACATTGACGTGCAGCTGCACATATCCATACCAGTAGCCACCATCTCCTCCAGGCCTATTGTTGGCGGCACTCAAGACTCAAGCGACAAGACCGCTTGTCAACCTTGTCTCATCTGGCCACCAGCAACCCAGGTTGAGCTGCCCGATAGCCATGTCTACCAAAATAGTCTTTGAGGCCGCCACGGCGGTCTGTGCCCCCACCCATGTCTTGGACGGAGCGCCTCTCGATAACCCCCTCCTGACTCGGCCTGCGGATGAACAACTTCAAGCAGCAGCCACGAAAAGAAAAGACGGCGCTCTGCTTCCTTGTTTCGCCCGCGCCGACAACCTAGCGCGATCAAAAATGCAGATAAAAAAAGTAGGTTAGCAGGTCCGCGTGACGTGGTTGCCTTTGGCGGCGTCGTCGCGCAGTGTGGCATCCTTAATGGGGCATTGTACCTCGTGCTCACATCGTTTCTGTCGGCGGCCGGCTTGGATGACGGACTCCCTTCTGGCCTGCGGCCACACCGGCAGCTGTGTACCAATCACCAGACGCGCTTTGTTTCCGGGGCCAGATTCGAGCCTGCGACGACGGGAGCAAAAGGCATGGCAGTGGCGACCTCGCAACGGGCTTTTGCAAACAGGTGACACAGCCAGTGGAGAGAAGAGACATGCAGCACACACATCTTTGCATCGGCAGCCAGCCAGCTTGCCTACCTGGGCGTCAAGGCAGGCCGGGCCGGCCCCCTGGGCAGTGTCTTTCGACGGCGTGTTGCATCTGGACTGGCATCCGCTTCTCTGCACCTGCCTTGAACATGATGCGCCTCTGCTCTCACCGACGGACTTGTCTGACTCTTATATAGCAAAACGTCCTCGCTTACACTAACCTCTAGCAAGGAACTGCACAATGTGCTGGCAACAGCTCAGAGAGCCCCACCTGTATTGTTGACGGTTGACGGTTGAATTAGGCTCTGGACGAGTCTGAGCCCAACGCCGTGTAACGGGCCGGGAATGTTGTGCGTGCTGCGGGAGAGTCCGGCCAGAGAGGCCTTGAAACGGGGGGGTGTCCTTTGTTTCTCTGTGGCTGTATCTTTACTTATGAACTAGCGTCGACTTTTTTATGCCGGCCGTGATCTGCTACGAGTCTACGTACATAACTAGGTCTTCCAGACGGAGTGGAATGGTGCAGATTGGGTCAAGATGATGGCCCCCAGCGATGATTGGCGGTCAGGCCTTGAGAGAGGCCCTGCATAGGTCGGCTTGAACTGCAATGCCGCTTGAGGCCTAGCATTGGGCCCAGCGAGAACCACTCGATCGCTGCGCTGCCTAGGTAAGCAACAGTAGCTGGTCTATGCAAATCTGCTGCGATGAACCATGTTTATTTCGCTTCGATCCGCCAATGAGATATCCAAGCGGAGAATATCCAACTTCTAACTACCTAGTTAGTGGTGCAGCACCCGGCGGTGGTTATACCTGAATGCTTATAGGCTTATAGGCTTATAACAGAGGAGCAGCAGGGATACCAGCGCGTCTGGGGAACACAACCTGCAGCGTTACACTACGGCCCGTAGACGGGAGAAGATGGATTGGTTTGTTGGGATGAATACCCTACTAAAAAAGCAACTCGAGGCAACACTGCTCTGTTGTTCAACGTTGCCGTGTCCTGATAGCCAACCAGTCGGCGTTCCTGGATCGGTGGCACGGCCTTACGAATTTTCCGTGACGCGGTGCTGCTGCTGCGCTACGGCGCCCTGACATGACAAAGTACCCCAGCTTTTGGCTGGCCTCATGTCGAAAAGCGCGTTGCTCGGGTCGTTTTGCAAAACCGGAGCGTGCGTCCGAAATCCCAGTCACACACGTCCCATCGCAACTCCCATCTCCTTCGCGCCGCGTCGAGAGAAAAGGACTGACTGCCAGCCATTGGCTCATCCGGCGCATCTGACGCTGCAAAGGAAGCACTGCTCCGCATAGCGCCGTCCGAAACTAGCGACTTTTGCATCCCCTCCAGACTGCACCATTGATCGCCTGCAGTCCTCTCGAACACCGCCTCTACCACCCGCATAACTCGTTTGGTCAAGCACGACTCTGTTCTGCATCGACGCGAGAACGCCCACGCATTCGTCCACAGCTCCGCGCCACTCCATTGCATCGCCTGCTTTCGGGTCGCCGCCATTTCCTACCCGTTGCTCCCACCGTCAATGTGGCCATGAAGGATGACGACAAAGCGACGGCCAGGATGCAGAAAATAAAGCTCGACGACGGAACCAACGGCGTCGCCTCGCCGCAGCAGCCCGCAGATCTCATCACAACCGCAGTGACGGACGCGACAAAGGGTATCAAACTCGAGGGCTCGCCATCGCCGTCCACAGAAGGGGGCAAATCCCGAACCGACAGCAATGGAACCCCCAACTCGTCGCGCCCGCGCCTGTCGCGCAAGTCATCCCGAAAGGACACGCCGACTCGAGAACCGCCCCTCTTCGATAGGTTACCGAACATGACCTCAGAGGCATGCAGCTCCTTTCAGGTCATCCCCGACTGTCTTTACGGCTCCAAGCACCTGGGCTCGACCGAGAACGACGCGTTTGACTGCGAATGTCGAGGAGATTGGCGTAAGTCGGCCCACCAGCCCCCTAACCTGGCTTGCATCAGCATTGCAGAATACGCAGAGGATGCGCAGCTTGCTAAACATGGTATGCTGATGATTTTTTTCCCTTGGACCTGCAGACGATGGCGTCAATATGGCGTGCGGCGAAGACTCGGATTGCATAAACCGCGCGACGAAAATGGAGTGCAGCGAGACGGCAGGCAACTGCGGTGGCGGATGTCAGAACCAACGCTTTCAACGAAAACAATATGCCGACGTGTGCGTCATCAAGACGGAGAAGAAGGGATATGGTCTTCGTACCGACGCGGAGCTCAGCGCGCACGACTTCATCTTTGAGTACATTGGCGAGGTCATCAACGAGGCCACGTTTCGACGGCGCATGCTCCAGTACGATCAACAGGGCATCAAGCATTTTTACTTCATGTCTCTCAGCAAAAACGAATTTGTCGATGCCACGCGCAAAGGTAACCTAGGCCGCTTTTGCAACCACTCTTGTGTCCCCAACTGCTACGTTGACAAGTGGGTGATTGGCGACAAGCTGCGCATGGGCATCTTTGCGTTGCGTACAATTCGTGCTGGTGAAGAGCTCGTCTTCAACTACAACGTCGATCGCTACGGTGCTGACCCTCAGCCGTGCTATTGCGGTGAGCCCACTTGTGTGGGCTTCATTGGCGGCAAGACGCAGACGGAACGCGCCACAAAGCTGCCGCCTGCTACGATTGAAGCACTTGGTGTCGATCTTGGCGATGGCTGGGACACGACTGTTGCCAAAAAGGCGCGTAAGAAGCGTGTTGATGAGGATGACGAGGACTACGTCAACAGTTTACAGGCCCGACCCCTTGACCAGGACGACGCCCGCAAAGTCATGGCCACACTCATGCAATGCAAGGAGAAATGGATTGCTGTCAGACTTCTTGATCGTATTCAGCAATCCAAAGATGAGCGTGTGATCCTCACTGTTATGCGTATGCACGCATATCAAATCTTCAAGACAACCCTGCATGCGTTTGGTGACGATCACAACGTTGTCTTGCAGGTGCTCTCCATCCTGGATGCTTTCCCGCGTCTGACGAGGAACAAGATTCAAGACTCAAATATCGAGGCTACTATTCAGGAACTTGCTACCTCCGAGCACGAAGACGTTGCATCAAAGTCGACAAGGCTCTTGGACGACTGGAGCAAACTAAAAATCGCATATCGCATTCTCCGGCGCAAGTTTGAGCCCGGCACGCAGACTCTGAGTATTTACGAGGATCGCAGAGGCGCGGCGAGAGAAGGGGAATTGGCTGCACCCGCGCAGACTCCTCAGAGTAAAGCCGCATCCCGGCCTATTGATGCACCCAAAGGACCTCGCAGTAACATACCACAAAGAAACAGCAACTTCCAAGCTGGAAATGGCTCGCGGCAACGGCAACGCTTCGGTAACAATGGGCCTCTACCGCAAGGCTGGTTTTCTGCCAAAGATGCCAGCGGCAACATGTATTATTATGATAAACAGGGCACAACAACGTGGCAGCGTCCGACTCTGCCCGCCGACCAGACACCGAAGGTGCAGTCAAAGGCTCAGCAGGAGCAGCAGTTGATCCAAAACATCATCGCGAAGGTAACAAAAGAGGGCACGCCGAAACCGACACCATTACAACAGTCGCAATCACAGTCCTCGGATACCCCCAGCAAGGATGCCCGATCAGACAAGTGGCGAGTATTGCCCCAAGACAAGCAAATGAAGATTTATGAAAACACTGTACGAGCCTATTTCCAGAAAAACGCCTATCAAGCTTCTTACTGACAGTGCTCCTAAGCTTTTCCCTCATATCAAACATGTTCTGGATAAATTCCGCCATAAACTGCCAAAGGACGACTTGAAGCGTTTGGGCAAGGACCTCGCCAAAAAGCTGGTAGCTTCCGACTACAAGAATGGCCGCGTCACAGACCCGACAGCCAAGCTGAGCGATAAGCAAATTTACAAGATCAAGACGTACGCCAAGGACTTTCTAGACCGAGCAGTTCAAAAATACGCGGTGCAAAAGAAGGACGCAGATGCCTCCGGCCTCGCCCGCGGCTCTGCCGAAACGACGGCGATGGAGCTTACCGGCGCCACCGACAGGGGCGACGATGCCGAGCTGAGCGACATGGACGTGGACGTGGATGTGGACGTGGACATGGACGACTCACCGGCGAGCCGCAAGCGCAAGCTTGACGAAGCCGCCGACACGGACCTACCGGACGCGACGCCGACCGCGGATGGCCCCGAGATGAAGCGCCTCAAGGAAGACGAAGTCGGCACGGCGGCAACGCCGAGCCCGCCCCCGCCTCCGCCCCCGCCTCCGCAAGACGAGGACCCCGAGCTCACGGAGGAGCAAGAGGCGCTGCGGGAGCAGGAACGAGCCCTGGAGCGCGAGAACGAAGAGGCCCAGTGGCTAGAGGACGAAGCGCAGAGGGCCAATGGAGAACAGGAGCAGAATCGAAAACAGGAGGTTCTGAGCCACTGAGCTGAGGCGCTCCTGGTTGACTTGCAGTAATTTTTATTGTTTTTTGGCCGAGGAACTCTACTCGGACGTTGGTTTTTATTCTTTGCGTGGGGAAAGGTGCTGAAAGAATAAAAGGAAAGTAGAGAAACCCTGTATTCGGTTGCAGAGCCGGAGTGACGAGGGAGCAAGAGAAGGCGGGGAGAGGGGGCAGAAGATGACAGTGGGCGAATGGGTTATCCATATGTGACATTTTGTTTCTATTTATTTTCTTTTTTTCTACCAAAAAAATAGGCGTTTTGTTGCTGGCATTCTATTCGAGAGGGGGCTGCTGCTGGTTGGGGATGCTGACGGTACTGCTGCGATGCCAAAAAAACGTCTGTCTTTTCAACTTGACTTTTGCTATATACTCGAAAGAATCTTCGTATAGTTAACACATTATTTGGACCTGCAGGGGAAAGAGGGAGGCGACGATGCCGTTGTCATGATGCACAAAATACCAGTATATCGGGAGTGTCGGGAGTAAACATGGGCAAACTTCTGCCAGGATCTATCTATTGTATATACTCTACCAGCCAATAAAACAAACGCCGTCCGTACATGTGCTTATATTCCAAAGGCCCCCCTCCCTGAACGCCAAAATCAAGCGCTTTTTGTCCCACACTATTTTTCAATCATCCAAATCATCCTCACTCGACTCATCCTCGTCATCACTGTCCCTCTTTCGCTTCTTCTTCCGCGGCTGCTGCTGCTGTTGGCCCCTCGTTTTTCTCAGCGTGTCGCCCTTGCGCACGAACACATAGCTGCGCGCAGTCCTGTCCTCGCCGCGCCACGCGGCAGCGGCCGGTTTTCCGTGGACGACGCCGAGCGTGCGGGCGTGGCGGTAGCCCGGGTACGCGGCGGCGTGGAAGCGGAAGCTGGTGTCGGCCTGCAGGCCGACGTGGCGGGCGAGGTCGCGCACGTTCCAGAGCGTGTAGGGCTCGCCCTCGAAGAGCGTGACGACGACGCTGCCGCCGGGCGCGAGCGCCGGCAGCGCGCTCTGCCGGAAGAAGCCGACGAGCAGCTCCTGGTTGTATCGCACCTGCCGGTTCACGTCGGTCGACTTGCCGCCCACGTGCGGGAAGTTGAAGAGGATCCGGTCAAAGGGCGCGCCGCGCGTCAGAGAGGGCGGCGGCTTGGTCCCGTCGATGGCGTACAGGAGCCGGTTCGTCTTGGGCGCACGCGGCCGGTGGTTGCCGTCGGCGTCGTAGTCGGCGTCGCTGTCGCTCTCGTCGCCCGCGGCCGTAGCGGGTTCGGGGGCGCCGCTGCTGCTGCTCGGCTCGTTTTCCTCGGCCGCGTCGCCGCCTTCGGTCGCAGCACTACCCTCATCCTTTTCGTCCTTTTGCCCGCCCTTTTTCGGCTCCGGTTTGAGCCCGTGGAACGAGGCGATATTGGCCTCCGCCGACGGGTACTTGGCCACCAGCTCCGCATAGTTTTTATCCAGCACCGTCGCCGTTACGTGCCGGCAGCGGTGGTGCCTCACGAGCGACGCCGCGAAGCTGACGTCGCCCTCGCCCACCAGCAATATGCGGTCATCGGCGTCAAACGGGATCGTGGGGTTCTCCCGGCTGTTCTGTTGCTGGCGCTGGCGCTGCTCCTGTGTCTTTTTGCTTTCCTGTCTCAGCTTCGGCGGCGGCGCCTGCTTCTTTTGCGTCGTGTTGGCGCCGCTCAGAGGACCGGCGGGGGCGAGCGGCTTGTCCGAATGCCGGTGGGGGATAAAGGCGGCGCGCGCTCTGGTGGCGGCCTGCTGCTTCAATTGTTGCTTGCGCTTCTTGCCACCCATTTTTCGGCGGTTTCGGAGGGGTTTTGAGAAGAGAGACAAAAGCGAGGTATGATGGATGAATCGTGGGTAGGCTTCGTAGAGAAAAAAGGGGATTAATTATAAGAAGCAAATTTATAAAACAAAAGTATAAAGCTAAATTAAATTATATTACTAATTTAAATAAGTTTATTTATTAAATTACCCTAATTAGACCTTATAGTCCTTCTAGTACCTTAAAAAACTTATAAGTGCTAGAAAAACTATAATAGTAAACTTATATATATACCTTACTATACTAGGTACTATCCTAGCCTAGGTAAAAACTAGCCTATTCTATATACTATTTTACTATTATATAATAATTCCTAATAGTATTTAATAGAGTTTAATATTCTTAATAAGTAGGTTTTTAAGCTACTACCTTAATCTATATTATTCTATTTTTTTTATTATTTATTAACTATTTAGATATATTAAATTACTTACTATTTATATATATATCTAAATAGTAAAATAGTTTTTTATTATAATACCTATTTATAGATATATATTATAATATATATATAGTTTTTAACTTTATTTTATTTATTAAAAGCTAAAATAGTATAGTATAATACTCTAAGTATATAATTTAAATTAAAGTTAATTTAATATTTATAATAATAAAAAACCTTAATATTTAAAAAGCTATATATAATATACTATAAATACTAAATATATAGTAGCTAAGAATTTATAGTAAGTATAAATTATATAAAATAACTAATTAGTTATAAAGTAAAAAGGGCTAGAATTACCTTAAAAAAGAATTAGTTATAAGATTAATAAGACTTATAGGTAAGTTAAGCTTAAATTAAGATTTTAAATAAATTTATAAAAATAAGACTAGTTTATATAAGTTTTAATTAGTATTTAAATAATATTTAAACTTTAATTAAAAGAATAGGTTATTTTCTTTTTAATTATTATAAAATAAAAAAAATATTTTTTAAAAAGAAAAATAAATAAACTTTAATCTTAATAAATAATATAAGTTACCTTTTTCCTTTCTTACTTTTCTATTTAATCTAACTTAATTATTATAATTTTAAAGCTTTTATTAAAAAATTATTTAAAAAGAAAATAAAGCCTTTATTAAAAATAAGACTAAATTATAAAAAGAAAAAGGTATTTTAACTTCTTTATCTTTTTAACCTTTTTTAAAATATTTCTTTACTATACTAATAAAGAATAATATAATTTAAGAAATTAATAATTTCCTTAAAAAGATTATAAATAATATATCTTTTTTATTAAATAAAGAAAAAAAAGAGATTTAATAATAAATCTATAAAGTTAAATAAAAAAATACCTTAAAAGAAAAGCTTTAACTTTTAAAAAATAAACTAAATAAAGAAAGTTATTTATTATAAAAAGAAAATAATAAAAATAATTACCTTTTTTAAAATATTTAGATTTAAAATATTATTAAATTATTAAATTAATATAACTTTTAAATTTATAATTAATAAAAAAGGGATTTATAAAAAGCTTTTATAGTTAATTTAAGAAAGTTTTATAAAAAATCTTTAAAAATTATTTATATTAATAATAATAACTTTTATATATTAATTAAGCTAAATAACCTATTTTATTAATTATAAAATAAAGAAAAACTAAAGTATTTAAAAGAAAACCTTATTTATATTTTTTAAGATTTATTATAATCTTATTTTAAAGTATATAAAGGTTTAATAAAACCTTTTTTAATACTATATACTAGGTTTTTATTTATATTCTAACCTATATTTAGCTTATATTACTTTAATTAGCTAAGCCTATTAACTACCTTTCTTTTTTTTAGGTTTTTATTTATATTAAAAGGGTTATATTTAATCTTATATATTTTTAAATTAATTAACCTTATTATTCTTTTAACCTCTTAACTTCTTAATTTCTTTTCTTTCTTTTTATTTTTATTTATATTAAAAAGAGTTATATTTAACCTTATAAGTTTTAAAGTTAATTAAGCTTAATTACTATTATAGCCTTTTAGTTTTTATAATATTTTATTTTTTTCTTTTTTAAGAATTCTTAGCTTTTATCTTTATTTATTATTCTTTTTTATTTTTAATATCTTATACTTTATTTATATAAATTTAAAGTATATTTTATAAAGAATACTATAATAATACTTTTAAAAATTACTTTTAATTCTTATTATTATTAACTTATATTATATAATAAGATTTAATAAATAAATAAATATATTTTCTTTATAATTATTAGTTTTTAATAAAAACTAAATAATAATTTTAATTATATTTTATTTAAATATTTATAATTATTATTATTTTATTATTAATTAATATATAATTAATAAGTTATTATTTTAATTCTATTTATAGTTAATAGGATTTTATATAAATAAGTAATTTAAAGCTTTATTAGTTATTAATTAGTAATTAGTAAAAAACTAAAAGTATTTTTTTTTCTTTTTTCTTTTT